GTATTTCAATTTTTCCTAATTTATTTCTCTAACAACACTAAATTTTATAAAATATTCACAAAAAATTAATAATTAATTTCACCAAAAATATCTTAACTACTTGTAATGTCAGACAATAAGATAAAATCAATAAGGTAAAAACTCCAATAATACACATATACATTTATCAATTTCAAAAAAAAAATCAATACCTTCCGCTAATCTTTAATCTCTTACGTGTATTGACGTCTTTTGAAAAAAAAAATCGGCAGCACTTTCGTGTAACTTGCTTTCTAATAAACTTTTTTGGAATTTCTTCTAATAGATTTATATAGACAAAAATTTGGGCAGCACTTCCGTGTACTCTACCTTTTTAGTAAATTTTCGATTTTCGTCTAATAGATTTATATAGGCAAAAATTTGGGCAGCACTTCCGTGTACTCTACCTTTTTAGTAAATTTTCGATTTTCGTCTAATAGATTTATATAGGCAAAAATTTGGGCAGCACTTCCGTGTACCCTAATTTTTTAGTAAATTTTCGGACTTTCTTCTAATAGATTTATATAACCAAAAATTTTGGCAGCACTTCCGTGTAATTTACGTCTTTTGAAAATTTTCACTTGACGGTCACCTCTTTTGACGGTACTTGTTCTTGACGGTCTTTTAACCCAAACGGTCCCTTATTACACACGGTACTTATCCTTGACGGTACTTGTTCTTGACGGTACTTGCTCTTGACGGTACTTGCTCTTGACGGTACTTGTTCTTGACGGTTCTTCAAATTGACGGTCTTATCCACCACAACGCCCCACAAAAATATTTTCCCAAAAATAATTTATAAAAATAATTGTTTTTACTTTAGTTTTTTGGTCACGGCACCAACTATTACGTTGTGCCGTATAAGTCCGAATAGAAAGCAAAACTCCGAGTATAATAATTTTATTGAATTTCCCACACAAAAAAAATGAATAATTTTATTTCAAAATTTATATATACTATTACAACCAAAAAAAAAAATATATTAAAAACAAAAATAAAATAGTTAATAATAATAATTTTATAATATTTCGCTTCCCTTTTATAGGGAAGCGCATAAAATACAATTTCATTATGATTCAACAAAACTTAATTTTTATATCTAAAAATAAAATAAAACAAAATATTAAAATACGGTCTAATAATGAACCGGCACAATTTATTTATTAATGTTCACACAATAAATATTATCAAATATGTCACTCATTTATGACATAGTTAAAGAAGTAAATATAATGAACAATGTTTGTGAGACAGATATCATGTCTCACATGCGGTCAATCAGGATTTCACGACAATGTGAAATGACAAAAGATTTAAAATGTGTGAAGTGTGTCCGAGATATACATGTGACTATGAATTGTAGAAATAATATTGATAATACAAAATTTGGATTGTGGGTCATTTACAAGAGAAATAACTAATGACTAAGAGAATTAATTGTAAAAATAATAAATTTTAATTTTGTATGTCTGTAATTTGTATAAATGATGAGAATCAACAAGAAAAATGTAAAGTTATTGTTAAAAAATAGATAAAGGATTATTGAAGATTAAATTGATACATAGAGTAGAATTATAGGAGATATTATAAATTAAAAATCCCAGGATAAAAATAGAGGAAATTAGTTTTTTTTATTAGATACGGGAGCATGGATTTGTTGGATAAGCTTATAGGATTTTAATAAAAATTGGCAAGGAAAGGATCTTAACTAGAAGAATAAGAGCTAAGCAATTAGATAATAGTTTGTTAAAATTATAGGTTTTTAGGTGATGAAATTGAAAGATATTAATAAGGAGATAATTTTGTGAATTACGACCTTAAAGATAGACCCAATTTTAGGTTTGAGTTACATTAAAGAAAGGTTTTTCTACCTAATTAAGAAGTTAAGCAATTGATATTTCTCGATAAACTCCTAAATCGAACACTAGATATTAAGATATAGAAAAAAGCAGAAGAGAAGAAAGAAAAAAATCAGGGGCGTCGCTAGCCTTCACAATCTCAGGGGGCTCAACTAGAAAAATTTTTATGGGGGGCTTTGCCCCCATATTTCCCAATTTGCGGGTCTTCGGCCCCCTTTAGCCCTGACTTCGGCCGGGTTTTATATGAATATATTATACGTTTTTAAAATTTGCTAACTCTGAACAATTATTCTGATTTTCATATTTTGTCATTTATTATATTATGCATACAAAATAAACTTGCCTATAAAAAACGACATAATGCAATAATATAAGTCTTAGCAACTTACATTGACAAAGGGTTATTAAAATAGTATAGCTCTCTGTTACCATTTTAGACAATGTTTTATAGAATGGACTAATAAGGAAAATTTATTGGCCTAAACCCAATCAACAATTTCTGAAGAGTATAAAAGACCAATCTAAATCATAAAACTATATGGTGGTTAGAGCTTCCTCTTAGAAGACATGATGGAAGCTAGATAAGCAATCAGGAAAATTATTGTGAGATATTAAGTTTCTAAAAGATTATCTTGCATTTTAAATGATATATAAGTTGACCAATATTGTTTATCTAAAATATAAAATTATATGCTCTCAGCCGCATAGTAATAATCTTAAATTACATAGCAACACAAATAATAGATGCTGGTTAATTTGCAGTAATAGCCATGACACTCATGATGTAAACTAATATCAGAATTTATTATGTTGGATAAAATAAAAACACTAAATTGGAAGAAATAATTATGCAAATATATTGAAGCCTGGAGTTATTTATACGGCAATGCCATATTAGAAATGAAACGTTTTCTAACTATAAAATAAGGACCAGAATGATATGATGAAACAATTAAGATTTTACATATTATCGCACCACCTTGATATATTATATCTTAAAATAATAGTAGTTTGTGATAATATCAAAATACTTGTATTAAAAATTTAACTAAAGACTGTTTTTCGAAAAAGAAAAAAATAGCTTTCCTAAAAACATGTAAAAAAAAGGAGAAAAGATATCAAATTTATTACATCTATTGCAGGATGAATAATAAAATGTTTAATTTTTAAAATAATTTATAATTAAATAGATGGCGTTAAATACTTGAATGCAATTTGTTATTATATTTATTATCAAAACCATTTATTAGTAAAATTTATTATAATATTAACTGTAATATATTATATAACTGTCAAATACATCTATAAAAGTGGCATTATATCTAATATTTTATAGACAACTGTATATTGTAGAGGATTATAAACTATATACCTACGACCTTGGAAATATTTTTATTGATCAATGATGAACTCGGCTAATTACAATATTAAATTTGTTAATTTTCAAATAATATATGATTATATATATTTAATTAGGGTTAAATAATAATTTAAATAATAAAAGTCATTTAAACTTCAACTGTTAAAGCTAAATTAATATTTAGTGAGTTGATATTATATTTTTAATACAGAATTTGATTGCAAGCTGACATAGTGAAAATATAATTTATATGTATTAATCTAATCTAATAATTAAAATAATATAATTTCCCTTCTTTTAATTATATGTTTTTTGTATTGATTTTTTTGTTTTTAATATATATTTTTAATTCAATAGTGTATATAAATGTTCATGTTCATGTTTTAACTTTTTTACCGAATAAAGTTTATTATGAAATTAGTATTTATATTAATTAATTGTAAATTTAAAAAAAAAAAAATTTAATAAAAATTTAAATAGTCTTATTTTCTAAATAATAAAATTTATCTATATATTACTTAATTGAATTATAAAAGAAATCATTCAGTGGGCAATCAAAAAAATTTATTTTTAGTTCAAGGGGATATTAAGGAGCCATTAAAAATATTTTTTTTGCTTCAGGATGCTATTCAAATTTTTTAGGGGGCTCGAGCCCCTGCCCCCCTCCCTCCTAGCGACGCCACTGAAAAAATACAAATCTAATAGAGATAACTAGAGTTGTCAATGAGATACCAAATAAAGGGATGAAACGATAGAAATTGTTGAAAGGAAATTTCACAAAAAAATATAAGAAAAAAGAAGAATTAGGAACGTTAAACGATTTTGAAATTGATATAAGATTAATTGAGAACTATTAACCAAAATTTTGTGGTATTAGAAGATTGTCATTCATTGATTAGAACAAATTGATAAAGAGCTACATAAATGGTTAAGGCCAATAGTACATAGTTAGTGCCCATAAAAAAAGAAAAAGGAAAAACAAGATTATAGAGTGTCTATACATGTAAAATGACAGATTAGCATTCATTATCAAGAATGAAACAATTGTTAGCATTCAAAGGAGCTTCAAAATTTAGATCTGGAAAAGAAAATAATTTTATTAAAAAATTGCAGGCTGCATATAAAAATCAGGTATAGAAAGGTAAAGAATAGTAGAAGAAAGAAAAGATAGGAAGGGGATAGAATAATTTACAAATTTAATTTTATTTTAGATGACATCGTATATTAGAAAATTTAGTTATATAATGATAATAGAGAACAGAGCATAGATGGTTCTACCATGTCTAGAGATTGGTTGAGATTAACGATATTAGGAGAAGTATTGGAAGATCTACAAAAGGAGAAAATAGAAATACAGTGGGGATACCATAGATATCAACACGACAAGGCTATGTTGGACTTGCAAGGGAAACCACCTAATGAGATATTGTGCAGAACACATTTTCATAGGAAACAGCGAATCGTTAATGGGTGAACAAAAAAAGTACCTTGTTTAATGGGTCAGCAAGGAAATAGCCTCATACGAAGGACAATACTAAGGGCAAAGACTTACTATAAGATTTTATTTTTATTTTTTGAAGATTTGAATACAATGTTCATTGTACCTTTTTTATGAAATAATTTATACAATATTATTTATAAATGAAAATAAAGAAATAGTTTCACATATATTTTGCAACAAGAACAGGCAAATCCTCCTCGGCTATGTCTATGTAACAAATATTAATACGACATATATTTCGATTTCTTAGTGTTCGGTTTCAATGAATGAATTCAAAAAATATCTATCAGCTTGTAAACATCTGATTGCGATTACTGGTGCTGGGATAAGTGCTGAAAGTGGTATTCCAACTTTTAGAGGAGAAGGAGGAATATGGAAAAAGTGGTCAGCACAAGTTTAATCACTAAATTTTATTATAATATATTTTATTACAATATATTTTATTACAGGAATTGGCCACTCCTCAAGGCTTTAAAAGATCACCAAAGTTAGTTTGGCAATTTTATCATTATCGTCGTGAACTTGTTAACAAAAAATTCCCCAATCAAGTATTGCTAAGTAATATTAAATTTAATTTAATCAAAGGCACATTTAGCTTTGGCGTCTAAAGAAAAGGAATTTCATGCAAATAATAGAAAATTTACAATTATAACTCAAAATATTGATGAACTTCATCATAAAGCAGGGTCAAAAAATGTAATTGAACTTCATGGTTCTTTATATAAAGTCAAGTGCACCATATGTAAAGATATAACTGCAAATTATGATAGTCCTATATGTGAAGTTCTAAAAGCTAATGAGTAATTTATTAATATATAAGTAATAAATTTAAGTTTTGTTAGATTTATTTATATAAAAACTTAACTACAGGGTATAGTAAATATGTCAAGATTAGTTTTGTTTATAACTATATATATATTGATTATAATAAGAAATTTTGACCAAGATATTGATGAACAACTTTTGCCTAGATGCCAAAAAAGTGTGAATAATATACTGTGCAATGGATTATTAAGACCCTATGTTGTATGGTTTGGTGAAAATTTGGATACCAATATCTTAAATAAAGCTTACAATGAAGTAGATACATGTGATTTATGCTTATTAATTGGTACGTCATCTCAAGTATATCCTGCAGCAATGTTTGCACCTAGAATTTTAGAAAGAGGAGTACCTGTTGCAGAATTTAATTTAGACAGTCCTACATTAAACGAATATGTCCACTTTAATAAAAATAAAACAAATGAAACTAAATTTTTCTTTTTTGAAGGGTCAGCTGGAAAAACTTTACCTGAATTATTAAGCTAATAATCTATTTTATGATTATATAACATAAAAATCTTTTATATTCCTTTATCCTTCTATTATGATATAAACCTAAAATGATGTTAAATAATAAATATTCACCTTAATATAATGATTTTAAATTATATTAATATATTCTCAAAAAGATTTTATTTATATATTATAATTTGCTGACAAAAGTGAATGCCTTAAAAAATAAACATATCTATCAGTACCATATTGTGAAATAAATATATGAAAATAAAATTTATTTTAGACCACCATTAGGAGGGAGAAATGGTTCTCTTTCATTTCCTAATAAATAAATTTTTAAAAAATTAATATTAAAGATTTTTTTATTTTTGGCGCCAAAATTCTCTGGCTGGAAAACGTTATTGGCACAAATAAGTGTAAAAAGTATAAATACCATTGATCCCGTTTAGAAAAAATTATATTGCAAAAATATGGGGCCAACTTCAAGCTTTATTTTAAATTTAAAGTTTGATTTTATATTTAAAAAAACGAATGAAGATAAAAAAAAATTTAAGACACCATTAGGTAGAAGAAAAGATTCTCTATCTACTAAAATAATTTTTTTAAAAAATCCTATTTTAATGACTCCTTTTGGAGCTAATTTTAACTGCAAATATCTGGAAGGTGATAGTACTAATCGAGCTGTTGCGCTAACTAAACTGACCTAATTTTTCTAAATTTTTTATTCATAAAGATACCTTTTTATAAATAATTTAGCCATAAAAATGCCTTTCAAATAAAAACTTTAGTGAAATATATTTTTTGAATGTTAATTCTGCGTAACAAAGTTAATTCCGAAGCAAATTATAAGTAAAGAGAAATATATTTCTTTACAATTCAGAAATTTATAGATTTCTTTTCCCTGATCAATTCATGGCTAATTTAACTTAAAAATAAAGCTACAAGGGTTAATGATTATTTTTTTGTATCGGTTGTAATATATGATTGATTATTTATCTCCCCCCCCCCTTTTTTTTATAAATTTGCATTTCTAATTAGTCAAAGACTTATATATAAAATTAAACCAGTTGGATAAAAGTTAGAGATTCATTATATACATTTTCATTATTTCTGATGAATTACTCATTAAATCTGAAAATTTAAATAAAGCTTTTAAATAAAATTAAACGATCATAATAAATTACTGGGTCGAGATCGTTTTTTTCGGCTTGGACTCGGGTCGAGGTCGAAAAAACGACCCATATTTTGGGTCGAGGTCGTTTTTTCGGCTTGAACTCGGGTCGAGGTCGAAAAAATGACCCGCTTTTAACAACACTAAGTCTAACCATGACACTTATAGGATTTAATTTTCTTTTAAATTATAAAAATATTTTTTAAATTTTGCCACCATATTTTTTTAGATAAATAGGAAAAATAAAGACGATTTATTTATTTATGTTAAAAAAAAGTATTAAAAATTTTGAACAAAAAATATTTGAAGATCATAAAATAGAAATTTTTGTTTTAAGAAAATCAAAAATCCTTTTTGTGATTTCATCATGAAAGATTTTTTTTTATGCATATAATCACAAATAATTTATGATTTTTAAGACAAAAATTTAATCAAAAAACTTGTTTTAACATTCTCGAAAAAATCCTTTTTTAAAAAAATTTTTATTTGAAAAAAAGTCAGAATGCAGAATATTTAAAGATTTTTTATTATAAAGAACATTTCATACTTTGTAAATAAAATATAATGAATAAATATTATATACATTTGAATGTGCGCATGGCAGAAAACTGTCTCAAGTTCAATATCGCGATATTTGACGAACCTTTATGAAATACTTCAAGCTTTTCTTTAAATCTCTCATAAAAATTTTTTGGTTGATCTAATTTCAAAAAAAAAATAGAATATATATAATAGTTAGTAAGGTTAATGTGAAAACCTTATCAACATCTTTTAATGGGATTTGTTTATTTAAAATCAATTTTCCATGGCTGATTCCATCACTTGCATATTCGTGCAATGTATAAGCGTAACCTTTGAATGGGTAATAAGGTACCTGCAAGAGGGGAGCCATAAATGTTACCATTAAATTATAAATATCAGTACGATCAGCCTCTGTATGATATAAGTCTAGTTTTAAATTTCTTATTCCATAAGTTGACTCAATAAGTGCTTCTATTGTAAGTTTCATTATGGTGTAAAAATTTAAATAAATATATATTTTTAGAATTTTAAATTAATACAATTTAAAAAAATATCCCTGTTTTTTAAGTCACTGAAGTAATTAGCTTAGTTGTGTTACTAACTGTTAAATTTTAGAAAATTGACTCCAAATTATTTGAATTATATTATTATATAAGTTATAAATAAAAATTTTCAAAAACCTTTTTGAGTAGTGAGTCCAATGATAAAGTCAATGATAGCAAGACATATCAAGCCTAGGAGTATGTAGATATAAACTTTTGATATCATTGAATAATTAAAAATAAAAACGGAATTAATTAAAAAATATATTTTTTTTAGAAAAAATATTCTCTTAATTACTTCTAAATACATATTTGCATAATAAATCTTAGAAACAATTTTATATCTTATTTGTAGACCTGCACTTTGTTCTTTGCTCGCACGATAAAATATTTAAATCGAAAAGATTTGAAAATAATATTTACTTTCGAATGGCCTTAAGAACAAATATCAATTTAAGAAAAAATTATTTAAATACAAAAAGAAAAAAAAAAAACTATAGATACATTTCAATATTTAATTTTATTTTTAAATGTAAATTTTAGAAAAACATGAATCAATAAATCAATCCTAGTTCTAAAGACCTGTAAACTAATTTTTTCTTTAACTCGATCCGGCTCTCGGTATGACATATAATTTTAGGACATAAGTCCGGCTAAGCTTGTTCCCAGAATTTCTTTTTTAAATAAAAAATTTTTAAATCAAAATATGTACTTTATTCTCATATTTTAAATATTGTTTGCTATACATTCAATTTAAATATTCGGCGATAACTTTGATAATTTAAGGGTTTTATCTCTTTTATTCTATTTATTACAAAATAGGATGAAAAAATATATGGCTTGGCTAATGATAATACACATCAAACCATTTGTTAAACAACGATCAAATTTTATTAAAATGTAATAAGAATAAGACCCATTTTTAAAATATTAGGCGGAATCACGCTACCACCTCCGATATTCATTCTATATATCATCTCCCCTAGGACGGGATTACCTAGTTGGCATCAGAAATAAAATATGGTTGATGGATTCTAACCCAGATCTATGAGATTGTCTTGCTCATTGCTGACTAGGCCACATATATGAAAACATAATTTTTTTTGAATATAACAATACATAAATGACGATAACAATAAATAAATGATGTGTTTAGGTATAAATTACATATATAGCACAACCGCTGCCGGGGAAAATCATTACTGAAAATGAATTATATATGTTCCCCATCTGTTGATTTATTTTTTTAAAAAATTATATTCTTTTTTAAAATTCCTTTTAAAAATTCGTGGATGATCAATAGACAAAGAAGTATCAGAAGAAAGTATAAAATTAATATTTTTTAGAATCATTGGTCGAGCCTTTATATTTCATTGATGTTATCACTTGCCCGGCCCGATCTCATTAATTTAAATCTCGATCAGCTGTTAAATAAAATGGTGACTCATAGGTAAAAGTCCCTTATATTGTACTGAAAAAAATGGTTAATTTTAAAAAAAGCTAAAAGCATAATGTAAAGTTCTAAACATTTATTCTAGCAACAAAATAATTTTTTTAAATTTAGTTAAATAAGAATGTATGCGATTCGTATTTAACATCCTACTTACATAAATTGCAAATTTATTTTAACAACCGCAACCGTTGCGAGCCAGTCCGAATAATGATCTGCATATATCTACCTGGTCCTTCTTTATTGTTTTATCGGATTTTTGCATAAATATATATCAATTAAAACATGCTTTAAATTTTAACTAATCATTTTATAAATTTTATGATAAATAATAATTAAACACCTTTTTGATTATTGGATACTATGGCATAAATTTAACAGGTCAAAATAAAAACTGGAATGCTAGGAATTAAGAAATTCTAAAAAGCTCAAGAAGAAATAATAATTGCTAGACTAGAATACTTAAACAAAACGAAATTGATAAGAAAAAATATTGATTGTGCAGAAAATTTCCAAATTTAACGAATAACGAAACTATATAAAGCTATGACCTAATCATTTTAAATGCCAAGATGAAAATTTATTTTTGTTATGAATTATATAAATAGTCAAAATATAATCAAATACTATAAAAAATAATTTATAAGTAAAATTTTTGGCTTGTGATTCAAATTTCACAATATAACAACAAAATTTGACCAACAGATAAAAAAAATACGATTATTTTTTTTAAAAAATTTTACTCTGCAAAATGTTCTTAGTTCTATAAAATCTAATAAATTGAATAAAATTTATTAAATTTTAGTTGTATTTTCAATTTCAAGCGATTAATAATCTGGGGTAGTAAATGTTATATATTTTTGTAAAACAAATTGAAAATATATTAATAAATCATGCTCGATGAACTAAAAAACAGACGCTAAATTTGGCGTATTTTTATTTCCACAAATAATAAATAAATAAATAGGGAAATGTGAAAAAAATAGATAATAGATTTGGTCTAGATTCGGGTTAAACAACGGTTTAAAATAATTCTACCCTTTTTTGCCACAAATAGAAATCTTTTTGTTAGTTCTGTAAAGTAAAATCTATGTAAGTAACATCGTTATTGAAGGCTTTACCAATTCTGAGGAAGAACAATGTCATTCATTACTTTTTCAAAAGTAACAAATGGGCTACTTTAAGTGAAAGTGTTTTTTTTAATGAATATAGAAAAGAAAAATTTGAAAAATAATAATTTTTCAAGAAATCCTCACTCACCTTTTTATATAAACAATCATTATCTTAATATTTAACATGAGGTTAAAAATTTATTAAAAATATCCTATGGTCATCTCAGAAAATATTAAACCTACTATAGAGACAAAGACAGGTTGAAATAAATTATTGAATCCTTTATAGATTAGATTTTAATTGAAAAACATTATTCAAATATTCAATATCTATCAATCACCTTTTTAATTTATTTCTTGAACATTTTACTCAAAAAAATATCTGAAACAATTTTATACACTTTACTCGAGACTAATACTTAGATAATGATTTGTAGCCAGCGAATAATTATAAACCAATATTTTTTGTTATTTTTATTCTAAAATATGATGCCTGAAATAAGATTAATATTTCATCCGATAGTTGTTAGTACAACTCAAAATATTAAATTGCTCTTAAAACATATTCAGCGTATTATCATAAAATCATATGTTTATATATTTTGAAAATTTAAATTTTCGCTAACGCAAATGGATCAGGAACCTAATATCCCTAATTGTTGTTATTATGTAGCCTGTAACAACCAAAATGAAGGTTTTTTATCGATACTTATAATTGTACCTTCATTTTTCTTAAGATTATAACAAAGAATCTGAATATAGACTAGCTTATAAACATCAATTTACTTCTATAATAAAGCTACTTTTAAATCCAGTATGTTGTAAAATATCATCGTTTTTCGATCAGTTTTTTGAATCAAGTAAATTAAATAACATATAATTGGTGCTTATAATTTAGGATGTATTTTAAATCTTAATATTTATTCTTGGATATTTTTATGTATTAAAGTTACATAATTGAAGATTAAAAAAAAATTTGTTCTTCCATTATCTATTATAAAATTATATACATATCATTACTTTTATATCTTTATCTTATCTTAATAGTACTATTATATCTATTTTCTTTTATGTCAAGAAAATTCTCATTACAATTTCCCAATAGCATTAATTCCAAATCAAAATTGTTTGGACAATTTACTAGATAACAACTACTTGTCACCTATTTTAAAAGAATCAGTATATATATAATACATTAAATATTTTTTCATTTTATTTCCCCACAGGGACAAATAAACATAATAAATATTAATGTTGATAAATGTTGTAATTTAAAGAACTTCTTTGAACAATTATATGCACAATCCATTTATATGGAAGATAAGAATTTTTATTTCAACACTAAACAACCAATGTTTATGACTGAATTTTATGAATGGTTATTTTCCTTAGAGCCTTTTGATATAATAATATAAACATTTTTATTATAGGGTACAGGGCAAAAATGATGGTCATTATATTATATTTGTATTCAAGTTCACCTACTTAATCAGTGGTAATCAGTCACAATTATTAAAAGATTTTTTGCATTGCCTCATAAAGCCAAAATATTTTTACGACATTGTCAACCCCCAAACTAATAATGAAGAGCCTAATTTAAGCCCCAAAAAATTTAAAATGGGTATAATTTTTATGACTGACTTATTTAACTTTAATGTTAATAATGACTCCAATTACCTTATATCCTCCCTCTTTCTGGACTTACTATATCCCAATAATTTTGATCAAATAATTCCGGGGTTCCATAATGACAAAGCAGAGATATTGGCTCATTATATTCGATTCAACACTGAAACCTTTTATTTCCCCAACAAAAATACCTGCTTTGATCATTTTATTTATCATGTTTACAACATTTCAGATCATAATGATGGAAAAAATCACAAAAGTTATTTAAATTTATCAGCAACATCTAATTTTCCTCATAATCTCTCCATGAGAGATTGCAGCAAAGAAAATTATGATCATCAACAACCCACAATGAAGCCCGGTCCACATTTCATAGATTCCCTTAAGCAATATTATTTCCAAAAACACACTTCCTCCCTGCAATGTTTATGGAAAATATACACCTACATTATTTCTGTCAAACGTCGTTTTATAAACCTTGATGACTCACAACTCGATTTGTTTGACAGCATGAATTACAACTCTGAAATGGAGTGTTTTGTTCAAGAAATATACAGATATATAAGCAGTTCTTCCCATTCTAAAAAGGATATTGTATGCGATAAGATAAACTCCTTTTCACCTGATAAAGTTCCCAAGTTTTGTTTAATTTATTATTTTTGCAATTTGTTATTCAATTATATTAGGTAATATTTTTTATAAACTACAAAAAAACTTCGATAAAATCACCATTCCAAGATAGTTAGCTTGAGATGAGAACCTTATTTATTTTTATGATGGAAAGTAACATTTTGGGAACTCAAATATGCATAGAAAGAAATAAAGAAAAGAAAGAATGAGAAAGAAAAAAGAAGGAATTATATACACTATACTATATGAAATCATTAAATATACAAATTTTATTATATATTTAAAAGTACCCCACGGAAATTAAGGGTTAGGGACGACACCGGCAGAGCTTTTATCAATTGTGATAGCGAATCGGCGCCAAAGCTTAAAAGTGTACTTTCGACAAAATATTTGGGTAAACATTCTAAGAAATGGTTGGCCGAGCGGATTAGACGCGATTGCCACTCCTTCCGAAGCTACTTAGAAACCAATTACGAGGCCAAGAAAGACTTAACGAAAGATCTGCTAATCTCGGATGAGAAGCTCCTTCAGTTTCTAAGAATCAATGCCCAACTTTGTTTCGAATACCGTAATTGTTTAATACCGGCGCTGACCTTATTGAAACTTTTTATGGCGAACATGAGGCACTATCTCGATAAGGCTACCCAAGGTTTTTTTTAAGATATCAGCTTTTTTAAAAAAATTAAAGCTGAATATAAATTTAAATTTTGGAAATAAATGGCTCTAGGAGTGTGCTCAGAAATGGCCTTTTGATATACCTACTAAATATTTATAAGTAATATTTATTATTTTATATCTTAACCCTCCAAAACCTATATAATTTTTTCAGGAAAAACGGAGGATACTTTGGTTGAATCGTATTTGCGGGCTTTGAATGGTTCATTCGAAAGGGACAAAAATGTGTTGCTTTGTATTAAAGTTCTGCAACAGGATAAAGATTTTATTTCTAAATTGCCAAATATTTCTACCACCCTTATTGCGCCATCGATTGAAGTAACCCAGATTTATCTTGATAAATGCGATGCTTGCTATAAGCCATTATATCCTGTCATGGAGAAGTTAAAGTTTAACCATTTTAGATAAAATAAATATTATAAATTTTTTAAAATTTTATTTATTATAGGGAAATTAACGAAACAATCAATTTATACAATTTAAATCAAGTAATTTTTTAATTTTTATTGTATATTATTATTTTAAATATATAATAGTATGTGGTAAGTTTATTCCATTATATATAAATATTAAGAAGAGATCTGTAAATTTGAAACATTATACCGGAAATGTATTCAGCATATATTTAGTAATTTAAATCCTATAAATTTTAGATAATTTTGCTGTAAACTTTAAATACTATTAATTTATATATTCCTTTTTAATATAAATTAAAATAAAATACACAAAAGTTTCATAACGAAATAGTCTGAAAACATTGATAGATTAGTTTACTCTATATATGCTGAATATACATTTTTACAGTGTCAGGTCATTTTTTTTAAAAAACACATATCAAAAACCTTAGTTATATTATAATCTATTTTATTATGGTAATTCTAAGTATGATTTGTTTATTTATTTTTTAATTGGATTGGATTATAATAGTGCAATAAAAAGAGATCGGTAATTTATAAAAAATATATATCTTTTACTTTTATTAAACATTTTTATAATATTTTACTCTTAGGATTAAATGGGATGTAGCGATATTAAAATAACCTGATTTTTAAATGTGCGTATCTCAGAATTGGAATCTAATATTTTATACATAAACATCTTGGAATATTATTATAACATTAAAACTGGTTACAAAACAAAATTATTATAAGAATCTGCTAAAATTGAACAATCGAAAATTTGTTTGGGATCGGATTTAGAATATGCTGATTTCATTTGCCGATATTGGCTCCTCCTTAAAGATTTTTTCTTCTGATAACTTATCCTTACTATTAACATTCAAAGATCGTTATGTATTAAAAAAAATGTATTGCCTATTGTGCCAATTCTGAGATAAACACCCTTTATTTTAACCAAGTTATTTCAATATCGGCGCGGCCTTAATATAATCCAAAATTAACATTTATATTTGAGCAGAACGAAGAAGCAGATACTCATCAGCTCGGCGATATAAAATCCAAACTTGTTAGTTACATTAAATACTTGCTGAAAGAATTTTTGGTGTCGCCGTCGAAAAAATTCGTTTTCCACGAATTATTTTATTTCGATTACGATAAAAAAGACGAAGATAGAATATTGCAAGAATTCAATTGCTACCCTTCGTTGGACATGGCTAATAGTCTAGACAAAATATTTCAAATCAAGCAGGTTCTTCATATAATATTTTATAAAAAGTGAGGTCCAAAGAATAGCATCTTAAGCCTCTGCAACCCCCCCCCCCCCCCCAATTCTTAAAAATATGTATAATATGCCATTATAAACAATATTCGCCAAAAAAATTGATACTTTTTAATAGTAGCTTTAATAAAAATTACGATGAAAACAGATCACCCAAAATAGTGTTGTTAAAAACCGATTCAGGTCGATTTTAAAAAACGGTCCTATTAAGATTACAACCAAAATAACAATATGTAAACATAAAGATTTTGCACATAGCTGGCAGAAATGCTTGGACATCTATTTGAGATCTCGATGCTTATAAAATATTATTTTAGCTAAGATCTTAATCGAGCCGTTTTGAAAAATCGACTCAAATCGGGCTTTTTAACAACACTAACCCAAAAGCAGGGTTAAACAAAATATTTGAAGATCACCAGAATTGAATATATTATTTTTACTAAAATTTGTGATTTCATCATTAAAGATTTTTTATGCATTAAAATAGTAAACTAGTTAGTACTTATTTATAAAAGATCTTTTACAAAATAAATTTGGAATTTTTTTTAAAATATATTTATTAAAATTTTTTCCTTTTGAGTAAATGTTAAATTCTGCCCTAACCTCCTCTCGCCTTACGAAAATATGCGCCATATAAAAATTGTATATTTTTTTTAAATAAAAGTATATTTTTACATATTAATATAGGTAATATATTGTTGTTTAATATAATATTAAGCAAATAAAACTCATTTTTTTAAAAAAGTAAAAGGCTTGTGAGTAGATGATGCTATATCAAATCACTGAATACATTTTTTGTTAAATTTTTAAAAAAATTATAACAATAAAATGCGAATACGCTACTGCCATTTTTATAATTAATATTTGGTTTCCTTTATTTGATACATTTACGATATTTTTTTTGCGCTACACAGTGTCTCAAATTGAACTCGGAAAAACAGAACGACATAATTAAACCCAAAATGGATTCCATTTTTAATGCCGAAGACAACGAAATCAATGTCGATGTGTCCGAATTTGATACGTTATACAAATTGGCCTTCAAAGATAATAGTTTTGCTTCCTATTATATTCGAAGAATCGAATTAAACAAATGGTGGGAAGCTTTTCGATGTTCCTTAAGCCCGAATTCCACATTACCCAGTAGCGATAAATTTAAAGATGATACTGAGATTTCTTTAGAAAAAGATCGATTGGACCTTATTTTGGGAGAAAAATTTAAGAGGGCCCTTATAGACTTAAAACACATGGGCTTGGCCAAACCTACCGGGTTAAAAGGAGGCCGAAAGAAAAATAATTCGTCCGGAACGAAAGGTAACGATGGGGAAAACGTAGTATATTGGGAAGTTATGCTAATTAGTGGATAATGTAATCAGATAATACCATTTTTTAAGAAATATATGTATATATTATGTGATGTGATGGTATTTATATTTACATGATTAAAACTGTGTTAATATATTTTATTCTATCTTTTAAATCGAGTTTCCACTATCTTCTGCTATTTAAAAATATCTATAATGATTGAATTACGGTATATTTGATGAAATATATGAGTTTGAAGTAAGCAAGCTATGTTATTATTTATATTTCGTACATACAATAATGGAAATTAAAATGTATAATAGAACCTAACTAATAAATAAAAAATTGCATAAATTTATTAACATAGAAAGAAAGAAACTGAGTACTTTCATATCCATCTTTCAAGTTTGTGCTGCTGGGAATTTCCGTTTAAATTTTTGTATTACCATACTTTATTTCCTCAAGGTTAATGAATAATTTAATGCCCGGTTATAAATATCTGTTAGATCGTTTGTTGGTCGAATTCAATTGATGTATGGGATTGAGTAGTTAATATAATATTATTAAAAATCTCGTTTTATTCGATTTTAAAATGTTTCACCAAACACTTCTTTCATTATAACTTATAAAAAATCTTACACCATTTATATAAAATTTTTAAATTGCTGCTAATTCACCTATTCTCAGATTCTATCTACCTTTTCTAATATGATCGCAGACTTAAAACCCAAAAAATTAGGAGGTAGATATCCTGATGCAGAAAATGTCTAAAATAACAACTAAAAATTTTTTTTATTAAAAATGCACTAAAATAAAATTTTAACACGAAATTTTATTATTGATAAATCAATGCATTGTGAGTGTGATGTGAAATATAATTTTTTGAAAGAAGAAGTTATACAAATGTAAATAAAATTATCCCATTTTAGTTATTTTGCTCTAGTAATTTGGTATATTACTACTATTGTATTAATTTTAAATTTTATTTTTTTGATAATTCATTTCAAGAAGTCAATTTTGTAGGTTGATTTGATTTAAACTTGGCTTATAAAATTATTTCAATTTTATAATTTGAAATTTAACATTGTTTTTATATAAATAATTTGTAAAATCATTTAAATAAGCATTAAAATGTGTATTTATGCTAGAGAGCCAATTAAAAAAAATAATTGAGAACCATTAACAAATAACACCCCTCCCCCGCCCATTGTTTCAAATTTTTTTGGCTCGCCTTGCTCGCTCTCCCATAGTTTTTTTTAAATTCACCAACCATTTTTTAAGTTTTCTTTATACCACTCTTTCAATGTTTAAAGATTATTTTAATGGTTGGTTTGGTAAATTTTATGGTATATTTTCACTTGAACTTATAAAATATGCAATGCTCAGAAATAAAAAATATTTTGTAAAATAAATACAAGTTCTTTCTGCTCATGCCTGAAAAATATTAAATTCACGCGCTCCCCCACCCCTTGATCGCCCATTGTTTATAAATATTCTAATCGTCTCCACTTACTCGCTCATTGCTTATATTTTTTACACCCGCCCGTGTCAGGGGCAGGCGGGCTAAAAACCTGGCCGTTGCAGACCTCATTATGACATTCACTCCGAAGAGTTTTAAAAATATTTATTTAACCAAAAAATAACGCCTTGATATCACCACCTTTTTATTTAATCTGTTTTAATCAACTAAATTAATAATTTATAGCCCTCTAAAATCTTATATTTTTTATATTGTTAAATTCAAAAATTATAATAGAGCCCTGCACGGGCTTGTTAGACTAGAGTCAGCCCCGAACTTGGATGGAATGGATCTACTAATATATTCTAGGTGTAATTAATTTAAATTTCGGACCAGGCCGGGTTTGATTTTTTTTTGAAAAATATTGTAAACTATTTTTCATACAAATATAAGCAATATTTGGAAATTGAGCCATTTATTTTTCTCATGCTTTCAAATTTCTTTTATATCTGCCAAAAAATATTAAGAGATGTTTTCGATTTTTCAAAATGAAACGTTCAGCAAGAACTTACTTTCATTATTTTACGTTATATAACAAATTACATTGATATTGAACTGACGACATAGCTATATATAATTAATTATTGACTTGCAATACAGCTGTATAAAATTTTAACAAATCTTAAACAAAAGAATTATACTGCATTTTTCGTATCTAAGATCACAATGATTGGTATGTTATATATAGTTCGCTTCATCACCTTTCCCTTTTCCTCTCTTCTTGCCTTCCTTCCCTCCTTCATAACAGATTATTTTGAAAAGCGGCGATAGTGAACTGTAATTTAAATTATATAGCTGCCTCCATCCTCCAATAAGTTTCTATGCGACAACGTCTATTCAAACGATGTATTTCTATTCTATAGGGTTAATATATACTACATTTATGGCTAAGACTTGATTTATAAATATATCACTAAATTTCCATATTAGTAAAGCCATGATTCTTGGAGGGAGAGGCTATCAGGTGGGGGTCTTTTCATAAATTAAATTGGAGATCATTAGTTCCACTTATCGTTAGTCTTTGGCTATTTATTTTTATAAAAATAACTGGGCTTTTACTTTTTTAAAAATCTAAATATTTGGAATTATAGTCTTTATTTTTAATAAAAAGTTATTAATCTTTACTAATTTTTCTTCCAAATTCCTCTTTATAGTGATATAATGTACATTTGAAGTAGAAGGGGGTGGAAGGAAATGTAGGAGAGGGGGGGGGTGGCTCTATTAGGTTAAAATGATATTACCAGTATAGGTAAATTCTAAGGGGGGATTTCCCCTTGGCTCTCAGCCCAGATCAGGACTACATAAGAAATATACGACGTAATTTATATAAATAACTTTTGATACTAACACCATACTATTAAAATATTTTTTCAAATTAATTCACATTTATTACAAACCCGAATGAATATATCCTAATATGAACTGAACTATAAGAAGAATCACATATAATGCAACATTGTGATATGCTTTTTTGATATATTTCCTTTTTAGTGACGACATTTGGTCTTAGTCATCGGTCACAGGGGAATATTTACATTGATTACTAATCGATATTCTATATCTATTACAATTTCATAAATTATATCGAGTTTTATATAGTGTCTCAACTTTTCAGAGTTGCTATAAGATACTTTCTAAATGGATCAAGATATAAATACATCGTCAAAAAAAAATGTATAAAGATAAGACACCTATACATTGTCAAAATATAAATATAGATACAGATACATCATATTAAAAAAAGCACAGATACAATTTTTATCATACCTATATACCATGTTCGCCTTTGTTCTCGAACAAAATTCTTATTATGAGAGCACAAAATATATAAACAAGAAAATAATAAATAAATTTCTATATGTTATATTTTAATATCTTATATATTTTAATAGGTAATAATTTGAATGTTTTATTAGTAATACAATATTATAATTTCCTATTGTATTTATTAATTAATGGGCCTAATGCACCGTCTACATGACAGGATTTTCACTGGATGCAAACCCCCTTCAAAAACCTTTGCCTACCCCCCTAAAAATTCCTTCCACCTTCAGCGGCGGTGTCTCCCTATTATTATTTTTACCTTTTTAATTTATTGATACTCTTTTCAGATAATTTATAAAGAATAACTTATCAATTACCAACTATCGATATTTAGTGAATATAAAGAATTTATTTTTTAGATCATAAATTCAATTAAAACCTCCATTATTTACAATAAATTAATTATTATGGCATTATGAGCTTGCTGAAATATCTAAACCTTTTAAATTATATTTTAAAGGATAGCTGAAAGTTATATTTGGAAAACAATGTGTATGATAGTTTACAATATATAGATTTGGTCGATGAATTGTATTACTATAATTCTATGATAAAAGTATTAATTTTTACAGCAATAAATTTTGTCCTATTTCATCTCAAAATTTAATAGATAACCCCCCAAAAATTTATCTTATCCCCATTAAAGCAGCCTATCCCCTACCCTCTCCCCCCCTCCTCAAAAAATAGCATGCGAACTGTTCTTACCTCTCCCGCTCATGTAGACGCTGGCCTCATGGCTAAGCAAGGATTTATATATTCCTCTAAAGAGCAAATTGATCGTTTGTATACGTTTGCATTATGTTTTTTTAAAGTCATGATAAAAATATCCTTCTCAATCTTGAACTAATATCTATAGATTTAAATTAGGGGGAAAAAAAATATTATTTAATGAGTATTTATATTTTTTTATGATTTAATTTTTATAAATATTTTTTATATTATATTAGTTTTAATATAATATTTATTTAAATTATATGCTCATTTAAAATGAATTTAACATTCATATATTTTTATTTTTATTAAAAAGCTTAAATAAAAATATATCAAAATGTTTAAATATAGTACCTAGATTCAGATTCTTTCTATGAAGGTGTAGTCACATCATTTTTATATCTATAAACTTTAACAACTCTGAAAATTTTGTCTAATTTTTTATAAAAATATACTTGTTTCATCTATAAATCTATGCATTAATTTATTTTAGACAATCATTTTTTTTTAAGTTATATGCAAATTATAATATTTTATCCACGAGTAGAGTTATTAAAAAAATATTTTATTACCTACATTTTTTTAACTTTTAATTTTTTCGGTAAGAATTGATATGTCAACCCTCGAATTAATTAGTATCAATATCAGTTAAATTTTTTATATAATATTTTCCATTTCATTAATATTTTCACATAGTCTACATATATCTTCTTCTTGAAATACACTTAAAAATTTGAAATTTTATATACTCCTAAAAAATTATTTTATACCAGTGACTTAACTTTAGAGTGGTATGGAATTGGTTCCTCCGCTCCTCCATGTGAGAAGATGGAATATATTGTGAAAATATGGAAAATTATATAAAAAAATTTTTTTTGCGAGTGTTATAAATTAAATTAAATTAAGCAACAAAATTAAAATAGAAATCAAAATTAATTACTTAACAAAATAACTAAACTTTTATTTATTCTTAAATGATTTTAATATTATTATTTTAGATTAACCACAATCAAATTATGTTGAATAGAATCAAAATAATGATGCTGAATTTTTTGGTGAATAAATTTTGGACTATTTTAAGGTTTTTCCATGTTATATTTCTGATTATTAAAGTTCTAGACACGACATTGCATCAGTTTTATATTAAAATGATATATAATCAATATTAAGATAACATTTAAAAAAAACATAACATTTAAAAAAAAGAAATTAAATTATTATCTTGAAAAGAGATTAAAAAAAATTTTTTTTGGGGTGGGCACAAAAAGGACTTCATTGAGCAAAAGATTTGAGTTGATAGTAACATTTTAAAGGTGTATCCAATATCACCATTAATTTGATAATTAAAGGCCTAGGGATCCATTGGGCAAAACTATTGGGGTAAAGTGAAAATGAGAAATATTCTAGTACCTTCTCATTTTTAATACAAATTAGGATCAATCTTTGGGTTAGAGAAAATTTGGAAGAAAAATAAAGTGTTTTTCTCTAAACTAAGAACTGTTTGTTAACACTTCTGATCTTTTCTAATTATTCCGATATAAGTGGACGGGTTCCAGGAGGTTTTGTTCGAGATTATGGAGCTAATAGCTCTATGGGGACTAAACTATAATTTGGAATATAAACAGGATAGACCATGTAGGTCCTTAGGATCGGGATACTTTCCCACATCCTTTACATTTATGGGGCGTACATAGGTCACAGCCAAATCTATATCTATATGATCACCTTCAGCTCCTCATCGGATAGGAAAAAACCAAAATTAGATTTAGGGACATCAAGCCTTTCTTGGCCAGAGTTTTGTCCCAAGTATTTGAGGATTGGAGTATCTTTAAGGGAGGGGTATAACACTAAATATAATCAAGAAAAGAAAACCTTATTTTTATACAAAATTATTCTGCAATTTAAACTGTTGTATTTTTCAGACAAAATTATAAAAATGTTAAAAACCAGTTAATCCTCTTGGGTAAGTATATTTTTAACCGCTTATAAATCAAGTTTTTCACTAAAAACTATCATTTTAGTCTTGTGGCTTTTTTTAAGATCAAATTTGGAAGAAAGTAATTAAGTTAAAAAGTCTTAATGTTGTTAACGGACTTTCTACATCAAGTTCATTAAGATTAAGACGAATTAGCCGACATTTAGCCATTACCCAACTATACTCCTATCCTATTTTAGTTTAATGCATCTATCTTATTTCTGATTTCAATTTTATTTATTTATAAATTTTTCCCACATATTTATGAAGACCAATATATATAAATGATATTATTACGTATTTAAATTAAATTATAAATATATGTAAGCAACATTCTATTATGGTCAGAAAGACAATATCTGATTTTCACATACCTAATAATACTAAAGTATCTTAATTATTTGTTGACATAATAATAATAATTTTCCAGACTTTAAATTCAAAATCATTAACGAGACAATTGTTAAGTAAAATTAATTTTTACATAATTTAATCATGATTTTTTTTAGGAATGCTTAGTGATTCACCCTACTATAACCTAAAAAATAATATTGATTATAAATATTACAATGGTAGGTCAAATGATGATAATTCTAATAGTTTTGACGATAAAATACTAGTAAATGAAATTCATTCTAAATCTAATCAAAAAAAAACTATTCCCCATGATGAGGTGCATGACATAATTCCAAATAATGTTGATATGGAAATAACCAATATGTCTGAGAAATCTTGCATTAAATCACAATCATTTATAAATAAATACAAATATAATAGACTTTCAACAAATGATAATACACCATTTTTTTTGAAAAGCCTCAATAGTGAGCCTCTATATAAAGGGAATGATGATAAATCTTTAAATAATATTAACAATGAGATTTTGCTCAATGATACATCTTCTATAAAGGAAGATAACACACATTATCAATCAATCACAGAACAATATGATTTTCCTTTAATTATTAGCAAATTAGAAACTGATAACAATTTGAGAAAAAAATTCTTTGAATCAATAAAACAATCAACAATTATCAGTCATGAAATTAAAAAATATTTTAATTGTGAAAATGATAACATGTATTCTCCTATTAAAAGATATAATATTCCAATGCAATTTAAAAATTCATTCTTATTTCCTCAAAATCAAAAGTTAATATGAAATATATAATTGTGAACTATATATTATATTTTAGGAAAACAAGTTTTCTAGACATATTTCATTTTGATACATCACAGCATTTGGCATTAACTTCTGATAACAAAGCTGGTTCCTCAGCTACTGAAGAAATCAAACCTTTACCAGTTAATTTAATTTTTTAATAATTAACCTCTTCAAAATTCATTAATTTTTTTTATCTTACAAAAATTAGTATTCCTCATTTAAACAGTTCACTTTAAATTCAAGTGGTGTTGATATGGAGTCATCTAACAACTTATCTCAGTGGTAAAATTATACAAAATTTTACTATATATTTTGCTAAGTATTTCAATTAAACCCCGGAATGGGTGGGGACTAGTCTAAAACTTAGATGCTATTTGATTGGTTGTGCCAAAAATTTTAAAATATTTTTCTAATCAGGTCAGACCTGAAGGAATTCAATAATTAATGACATAAAATTGTGACCCAAATTTTATTCTATAAAGTTTCTGGTTCAATTATAATCAGGAGTAAAAAATTAAAAAGATAACCTTTTGGTTGCTTAAATTTATAAAAGTTCTGATTTGAGTTTTAGAAGAAAAATATGGAGGTTTTTTTGTGTTTTGGAATTTTTATAATATTTATATCAAATTAGCTTTATATAGAAAGATACACAAAAACGTGAATTAATTTGATTGATGAAATATACAATACACTAGTGTTGAAAAACCTTAATTTTATAAAAAATATGAGAAATCAAGATTTTAGCTTAATAAATATCTCGAATTATTAAAATTTCATCAAAAGGAGTCCACAATATTTAATTAAATAAGATTTGATATTTATGAGTTGTAATTATACAGATAAATTGAGTTTTAAACTTCAATTTATTAATGTAAATATCACATTTTAAATGGTATCATGCAAATTGGTCAAATAATTGCTTGGCATTAAAAACTATTTAAAAAAACAAACTGGTTTGTGTGCTCCAATATTTTTTTTATTCTATTTTATGATATATTTTATTGTATTATGAAATATTTTTATTTATTTTTTAAATTTTATTAATAATTTAACTCGAGTTTTTAAGTCTATATTGGTTTACAACTAACTCTTTACAATATTTGGGTATTTTCGAGAAACTGACAAAACTTTGTTACCCAGATAAGAATAATAAAAAGGGGAGGGGGAATAAAAATCCTTTCTTAGTTGTTTAGTATTATATAAAATGGGAAAAATCACATATTTTAAAATGGAATATTTAGAAATTAAAGTAAAAAAGGTTGCAGACGATAATATAATTTACAAAAACGTTTTGAATCGACCTTACTAATAAAAATGTAACCACCATTTAAGAGATGTGTTCTTTTTAAAAAAAATATGGCAAAATGCAAACGACCAATTTATGTGCCCTATAATATATATTTTAGTCAATCACTATGAATAAAATAGGTTAATGATGCTTTACCAAGTGAATGTATGGAAATATTCTAAATACCAACCTAATTTGCTAAATACCGACCAAAATTTATTAAAATGTAATAAGATCCTTATTATTTAATATATTAATACGGAATCACGTGGTCGAGTCCGGCCTCCTATATATTATCCCCCCAAGGATGGAACCACCAAGTTAGAATAAGAAAAAAAACATGATCATTCCCGGGATTCGAACCTGGGACCATGGGATTAGTAAACCAAGCTCTTGCCTACTAGGCCATAGATACTTTCCAAAAATCACGATTTTTCAAATATATATTATAAATATATTTGGTAGTGCCTATCCAAATGAAAAATGAACAAAATTCAAATTTGATAGATGGTACCTTAAGGTACTAAGCATCATTAACCAATAAAATACGTAACTACCTATTATGAAAATTATTTTTTCATCAAAGTTTTACCTTATAATTATTATTTAAATTTAAATATAATCATGTAACAAAAAAATCAAAGTATATAATTATTAAAATTTAAAAAAAAAATTTCCTTTATAAAATTAATAAGAACTCAACAGGAGTGTCACTCATTAATTTTCTTAAATTTCAATTTTTGAAAAATCAGGCCCGGCTCATTTAAGTTTTAGGAAAAGTACGCCCCGGTCGAATAATAATTTTTGTATTTCCGGTCATCAAATTTTTGATATCTATATCTAATTTTTAATCTCAATTTTTGTTAATTTAGTATTTTATTTTATAGATTTAATATTTTAATTAGACAGTTCTTAAAATACAAAGAAATTTGCCTATTGTAATATAATTTTCAAATAGCTTTAATCAAAGTATTAGCTTAAAATTCAAAAAATATATCAAAATTTTAATACCAGGGCTGGCCAAATGCACGAAATGCCTAGCCCCTTGACCAGACTTTCAGATGGGCCGTGCTTAGTAGATCTCTATATAAAACAGGGTTTTAACCCGGTTTCGAAATAATTATATAGGTTAAGTTTGCTCCCTATCCCTGATAAAAATTGAACGGGAGTGAAATTTTTTTTATAACTATTCACTTTACCTTTGAAACTTAGGGTTATTAGTGCGGTTAATATCTTATAAAAATGTTATAAATAATAAATACCAGACGATCGTTATTGGAGGTCTGTGATTTAATTGATGGAGCATATTATTTTGTTTAAAGAAGAAATATATCAAAGTTATCTTTATCATTGATCAATGGATTAGATTTTACATATGGTGCATTCACTTTGAGATGATAAAAAAAATCATATTAAACAGTTATTACTAAATCTCAATTAAACTACAACTTAAGTTCTGTTCCACTTCCTTTTAATATGATAATAATTGGGCTTTTATTGGCACCACTCACACTTTCTAGCACCGTTATAACGCTATAACACGTGATCACTAGGTCTTCAAAGCAGATCCATCTACTATTTAATTTTAAATATTTATGTTTTTTTTATTTATTAATCAAATTTAAAACGTTCTTTTACGTATACAGATTTTTATTATTCAGATAATATATACGAAGTAGCGATTATTATTTCTTACGCATTTCCTCATTATAGAATCAATTACCTCTCTTAAATCGGAAGTCTTAAATCTTAACGCCTTAATAATATTCTACTCTCTACTGACAAGATTATATAAACTATGCTTAAACATTGGTAGTGTTTGTATTAATCTAATCGGACAATTCTTCTGACATTCGATCTTGCATCCGTGGCTATTAAAATTATCATCGACCTTAAATCGATTGACTGGGGGTTTATAAGGGGTCCATAAAGAAAAATTTTTTAATGCATATTTATTATAAAAAAATATTAATTTTACTGAAATATTTTTATGAATCAGATCATTTCCTTTTTTTAGACTGCATCCAAAATATCAAAAAAATTCCCGCAAACTTTTCAAACTATCGAAAAAGAAGAAATAAGTTTTTTTTAAACATAAAAATAAAAACATGTCCAAAATATAATTCTAAAAATTTCAAAAATTTAACATAGGATTTCATTTCATTAAAATTTTTAAACTTCTAAATGTTTTTTTAATTTTTTTTAAAGAGATTTTGGGCATAGCTTTAATTGCTAAAAGAGATGATTGATTAATATAACAGTATTTCTCTAAATTTTGAATCTTATATATTTACAATTTATATTTAAAAATATTAATGTCATTTATTTAGCAAAAATAAAAATAATTTACATAGCATAATTTTTTTGAATCGCCGTCGCAAAAGTCCCAAAAAGTGCGGAGACGTGATACGTCGGTTCACGGGTGTAAATATAGTAAATAAATGAAGTGTATAAATCCACTCCCCCCCACCAAAAAAATTTGTCTCAAATAAATTATTCTTTAATGAAAATAGTTTTAAACTTGATTCGCTTCTTTCAGGAATTATGGCAAATAAGTTATATTAAGATTTAAAATAATGTGTTTATTTATTGTTTTTTAAAGTGGGGTTGGAGGGGAGGGGAATTGAAAGATGTCAAATGATTGCCTAAATTATCCATTATATGCGGTCTTGCAAAAATTTTTTATCTAAGTTTAACTGATCACATATATATTTTGAATAAATAAATGTTATATTTCTTTCTAATTTTTTTTAAAAAAAATAAGTAATAACAGGGATTTAAACATCCGCGACTATTTAGAAGATGTTAATGATAGCCAAAAATTGCCCAACATCAGTAACGATAACCATATCCAAATTCGCGATGAAGATAATCAATGTAATTTTTTTTAAAAGATAAATAAATATATATTTATATAATACTTACACAAACTCATTCAGTTGTTTGAATCGGAATTGCAATCTTTTGGAAGCTATGATTGAAATGGCTTGACTTGTATGTTTCGTTGAACATATAAAATTTGTGTATTATCATGCCTTCATATTTACCTTAAAATTTGAACTTAAATACTTCTATTCCTGATATACTATAATTTTATTGGTAATCTATTTTTAACCTGACAAATTAATTGAGAAATAAATGGGTACTATCAACACTGGGTTGGGAGGGGAGGGTGGTATATTTGTACACTTTATATTTACCCTTTTTTGCTTAGAAGTTAAATTGAAGTAATGCGCAAATTAGTTAATTATTATGATTATTTAATAAAGAGTATTGTTAATTATTTTAATACGATTGCACTAAAGCTATCCTATCAACCAATTCAAAATATTCAGAAACTACACCCTCTACTACTTCCTCTAATCTACCCTCAACATCTGATTCATTTCGAAATTCCTCTTCTATCATAGAAGAGGAATTGAACAAGCAAATAGCAGCCCTATCACTTAACCAGAAAAAGATCGATTTGACGTATTATATATTATGCTTTAACCCTCTGCTTTTTAAAAATACATATTAAAATTTATTCCATATTCGTACATTGCGTACTTAAAGCTTTTGTTTTTTTAAAATATAATTAATTTTGTTTTTGAATATGCAAAATATTTTTTGGGTTTGATCTGATTCTGAATCCAACACATAACACCATTCATAATAATTTAATAATTCGACACCAAGCCTTTTCAAATGTCAACTCGACTCCAGATCTTGGCGTGGTTCCTTGCTCCCTCTATCCTCCATGGACTCGGATCACAAGCTCAAATTACTTGCTACATCCGTTCAGCGCCGCTACGACAGAGCCTTATCTAGTTTGAGTCGATTCACTCCCCAACTCTTTGACGAATTACTGGACGACGATTTGGTTTACCTCAGGGATTCTACCAAAGATAGGAAAGACTTACCCATAGAAAATTATCCCAGTATAATTGCCTTATTTGCTTTGAATTAGAGAAATTCTTATATTGAATTTGCCAGTTATTACATTCATACTACTGATTATATTATACTTGTTTCTTCTTATCCATTAAATTATGGATGTAAATAGTGTTGTTAAAACCCGATTTGGGTCGATTTTTACAGATTAAATTTTTGCCAAAATAATATTATGTAAGCCTGGATATTTTGCTCTAAGATGGGGGGAATGGTTTGGACCTCTATTTGCCAAATCTTGGGGCTTACATAATACATTTTGTCTATAATCTTAATCAGCTTGTTTTTAAAAATCGACTTAAATCAGGTCGTTTAACAACACTAAAGTAAAAGTATATCTAACGATTAGTTTAATAATTTTGAATGGAAACACGATTAAAATTTTCTTCTTCTTACTCTTATTAATTATCAATATTTCATTATTAAATGTCAAATATCATTTGCGATCATTTTAATTTTAATTTAATCACAGATAAAATTTTAACAATTAAAAATATTAATAACCCCCGTCAAATAAAATATTTCCACGCATTATTTAAAATTAAGTAAAGCCTCAATTTAATCCCTCCCCCCCCCCCCCCCCCACTTAAATAAAATTAAGATCTAACTATGGAAGATAAAAAACGCATAGAGTCGCTACTGTATCAAGGTTCCAAAAATGACATAGTAATTCAAGCTTTTAGGATTGACGTGAAACGGTCGGATTTGCATACCCTCGATCACATCAATTGGCTTAATGATGAGGTTTGTCCCTTTTTTTTTAAAAAATATGAATTATCTATTTTTTATCTCTGTTAGCTTCCTTTTTCCAGTTGTAATTGTAGTTCCTATTTATAGTGTTTTAAATATTATTATATAAATCTTTAATAAATTATATATTGGAGAAAAATAATTTATTTAACGTTATATATATAAAAAAAATCAAATAAATTAATGTAATTAAGTTGATTTAAAAATGTAGATACTTTTATATTTTGCATCTAAAATAATCTTAAAATTGATAATCATTATACTCTTTAAATTACCTTTATTACTACTAATTTTTATTTTTATTGTGTAAAATCTCGAGTACATTATTTCATCAAGATGTGCTCTCTATCTAATGTGTATTTATATATTTTTTTTCTTTATTCCACACCCTACCAACAGATAATAAACTTTTACCTCAACATGATCACCGAAAGAAGCGAGAAATCATCTAATTCTAGCACAGACGACGAAACAGATAAAGGCTCGACGACAACCCTTTACCCGTCTTGTTTCAATTTTAACACATTTTTCTTCACGCAATTTACGAATAAAGGTTACGCCTCTGTTAAACGATGGACCAAAAAGGTGGATATCTTTAGTAAGGAACTTATTCTCATGCCGGTACACATAGGCGCTCATTGGTGTATGGCGGTAAAACATCATTTAATTTATTCTATTAACGTTTTTTAAAACTGTAAGCCTATCTTTGAGTTTGTTATCATTTTTAAGTTTAGTTACATGTGGGTAAACTTAATTTTTAATTTATTTTAATAATTATTCATGATGTTTTGGTATAAATAAAATATAATATTACAATCAAGTTTTATTTATTTTTAAAAAAATGCTTACGAATTGCTTATTATCATTATTTTGTATACTTCGCGGCAAATTCGCCCTAACTGTGAATGAGGGATTAGACAATTTGGGTCGGAATATGTATAAAGGTTTTCTATGAAACATTAAAAATATGTAGTTCATGTATAAATTCTCATTTCGTCAATCGCTTTTCGTTCGATTTTGATCTAGTATAATGTTCGTTGAGACCACTTTTGAACATGATTTTCTTATTAAATTATGGTTAACTATGAATCTATTTCAAACTAGTAGTCCTCACATTATCATTATTGAGTTCAGACAAATTTACAGTATTCCAGGGTTCCGTTGCTAAGATTAATTCTTGTTATTTCAGTGTTTCCAAAAAGATATAATTTGCTAAAAAAATTATTATATTAATAGATCATCGATATGAAAATGAAGGTCATCATTTACTTTGATTCTCTATATTCGGATCCCCATGAATACTACCTTCAGATGCTGCTGTATAAATTTATAAAATTAATTGATGTCTTTTTAAAAAAATTTTTTTTAGCTAAGAATGGTATATTATAAATTGATGACTTTGATTTTTGCCATTTTTTTCTTCTGCTAAAGAAATAATTTTTTTAAATGTTTAAGTCAAATTATTTTTTTTAATGAAAAATAAAGGGATTTATTGGGCACACTTCAACGTAAATAGCTATACCGAAAAATTATTTAAAGCGCGATGTTGACATTAGAGGTCTGCAATGGGTGTGGTATTTATCCCGAAAGGTCCCCCGCTCATTGTTTAAAAAAAACCCGCTTTCTTATAATAATTTTTATAGGTTGATTTGGTTTTACTTTAATATATTTTTATAGATTAATTATATAAGTCCGTTCTATTCATTTCGCCCGAAAAATATTTTAAATTACTCGTCAGTCCACTTTCCCTTTGGTTTAAGAATATTTTTAACCCAACCACGCCCACTCGATGTTTAAAATTTTTAACCCACCCCTTATAGACCTCTAATTATCAAAAGTTCATACTTTTGTTTAGCACAACTCTAGTCAGCACCAGGCCTTCACCCATATCTTTTATGTACTAATTCCACTACTGGCCCATATTTCCTTATCCCATATGGATCCCTTTATTTTAATCAAATTTAAATATTTTTTTCAGTATAGGACTCTTTACCAACGATAGTGTCCTATATTAATAATCTATTTACTAAACAATTTATGACAAATTTTTAGCCTTTTAATTTGAATATTATTATATTAAAATGACTTTATGTTTATAATATGACATTATTCCCATTCAACTTAATTGATCACTAAACTTGGATTTATATTTTATTACCCGCTTGCTTAGAAATTATTTGGAAGAAGAAAGCATGGACAAAAGAAAAAAAGCGTTTGACACTACGAATTGGAAATTGATAAATGCTCAAGTATGACCATATACTTCAAAATTTTTTTTATGTTACTAGTATAAAATAATATAATATCATTTATTTTGAACAATAATTATTTATATTTTTTATTACCTATATAATATTTTATTTTCTTTCTTTCTTTCCTTCTTAATATTTACAAAATATAAATTAGGATTGAGATTACATTTTTTTACATTTTGAAAAACAACCTTAAAAAGGTATTTATTTATTTTTATTTACCGAACAGAATGTACCCCAACAAAACAACGGTAGCGATTGTGGAGTTTTTGCTCTTAAATACGCCGAATTTATATCCCGGAGAGAAAATTTTACTTTCACTCAAGTTTGTAATTTTTTCTTTTTATTTGATTTTTTGAAAATGTTTCCTTGCTTTATGACAACTGGTGTTGCCATTTGTCCATGAGCCGAGACATATTTAATAATAAATGGGGAAAGGTAAAGCTTTTTTCCCCGAAACGGAACATCCAACCATTAAAACGAATTTAACTGAAAGGTTAAAAAAACTGAAGAATAGGATTTATTTGATATTGAATGAACAAACTGATTTAAAAATGTTTCAACAAAATACTTTTCTTTTGCGTCTCATTTTGAGAGGATTTAAAAAAAAAATTTATCAAGACATTTAAAAAAATTTTTGAATTTGTCGAACAATATTTCGGATTTATTTTAAATATTTGTCATAACTTAGAGAAAAAATTATCAAATAACTTAAAACGATTGCACGATAATCGATTTTTATCCAATATCAGGAACGCTTATGCACTTAAAGTTAAGTATGCAACAATTTCTACAGCCTATCAATGTCGTCTAAATCTAATGACGAAAGAAATCAAAAATTTAATGCAGAATATCAAAATTGCCTTTTAACTATGATTTTCAGAGTTGTTAAAGTATCTAGATATAAAAATGTGGTATCTGTATCTAGATAGATTTTTGATTAAAGTATCTGTATCTATATATTATTTTAGAGGTATCTATATCTGTTTTAGATACTTTTTAAGATACATTTTGATATACCTTTATTCAGACTTGTTAAAAGATACTTTTTAAATGGATCTAGATACAGATACATAGTCTAAAAATTTATCTAGATGCAGATACAGTTTCTAAAAACTTATCTACAGATATAATTTAAAATGTATCTAGGTACAGATACATTTTTTATTATGCTCTTAGATAAGGTTTGAATAAACCTAAATTAGGATTCTATTGTGAAAATTCATGAAATGATCTAAAAAATTTATATGACTCGATATCACATTTATCAAAATATAATTAAAATAATGATTTTTAGATATTAATAATATTATATTATACAAAAAAAAATTATTGTCCTTTGGAAAAAATTATGAATCACATGCTTTAAAAAGCTTTGAAAAAACGTTCAGCCTGGTAATGGTATAAGTCTGCATTTTATAAAAATATAAAATGATGTGTTAAAAGCTAAATTTAATAGACACATTATTAAGCAAAACACAGCTTACGAGAAATAATTTTCACCAAAATCATCAGAGTTGTTAAAAGATACTTTTTAAATGGATCTAGATACAGATACATAGTCTAAAAATTTATCTAGATACAGATACAGCTTCTAAAAAGTTATCTTGATACAGATACAATTTAGAATGTATCTAGGTACAGATACATTTTTTATTATACTCTTTGATAAGGTTTGAATAAACCTAAATTTGTATTCTATTGTGAAAATTCATGAAATGATCTAAAAAATTTATTGACTCGATATCACATTTATCAAGTCTTTCAGACGCCATGAGATATGTTAGTTGGTATTCAAAAATTAAATCCACCTAACGAGGAACTATATCAATAAATTTTCATCTTTGATTAATTTTGTCACTAAGACGTATTTTTTAAATTCTTTGAATCTTTTATAGGGATATTCAAAATTGTCTCAAAATAAGAATATTTTGTTAAATAAAAACATTAGTATATATTTCCAATGGAAATTGTATTTTATTTTATCTTATTTCAAGATAATTATAAAAACAACTGTGATATTCTTTGTTAAATTTTTGAATTTATTTATCTTAACAAATGGATTTGACTACTAATGACAAGCGATATGTGGGGACAGCATGCTTATATTAACATATCATATTTGTAAATATTTTTTAGAAAGCAATACATCCCTGCTAGAGACCAAAAATTGTTATATCGAACTTTATTAGTGTTTAATAAAATTGTATAACATTTTATAATTGTTATTTATATATAATAAGATAAAATCTTTGGCAGAATTATGTATTACATGGTTATGCGCACCTTACCGTCAGCAGGTTAAGACAATCCTATCATTCTGCTCTATTTTTGTTTACATTTATATCTATATTATTAGCACGATATAAAACAGGTTATGAGATCCTCCCAAATTTAATAATAATAATAAATCAATTTTTCTTTTGATTTTATCGGTGATATAGAGAAATTACTTTTTTTACGTGAGACGGTTACCCTTCAATTATCATCATCTTTTGCTGCTGTTAAATGATGTTATTATGAATGTATTTTCTAGTCTTATAATGTTTTATCTACTATAATAATATCACATTTTTTATTTTAGGCTAGTATGCCCTACTTTAGAAGAAGAATGATACTCGAAATTTCAAATAACCGTTTATCACCGACTGAGATTATTTAAATTATTTGTACATTAAATGTTTCTATTCGCGGATTTGTTTTTTTATAATGTGTATTATATATTTATGTTATACCTTTTGTACATAATAATTAAATTTAAGTCAGTAAATTTTTTTTTTTGGAAATAAAATGCGATAATGATCATCGACATCTATTTTAATTGTTTTTTATAGTGGCATGAAAAAAATATAAGCGCTGATTTCCAATTTTTTATTTTAGACCCTAAGCGCCAACCATTGAAATGTATTTTAATATAATTTTTAAATTTACTTGGCATATATAAGCTTGGAAATATATCTATTTTTCATAAATAACTTAATTTATTAAATAATAGTTTATGATTATTAAAGTTTGATATAGGTATTATTTATACTTTTACTACATGGAAATGATATTACATCATAAAAATAAGTTATTTAGCAATACGAAAACAAGTCATTATGAAAATCACGGTCTTTGGGTCGGACTACTGTCTAGACCTACCAACAAGCAATATGCCTGTCATCTTATGGTCCACTTCTTAGGAATTTAAAAATAACTTTTGCCATATGCTTATTTATATAATTTAACCTTAGTTTTATCATTTGAATAAATATGAAAGTAAGTAGTATTAAGGTTAACAAATACGATATTTTAGTAATACATTAATATTACTGCTAGAATTTATTGTTGATTTGATTTAATCAAAGGGAATAATTAAAATTTCCAAGTATTTTCAATTTTTTTTTTTAAAAATGATACCAATTAGTGTTAAACGGCACAATTTAGGTCTATTTTTAAAAACGGCCCGATTAAGATTATAGCCAAAATAGTATTTTGTTAAGCCTCGAGATTAGGCATTATGCAAATTGAGGTCCAAATCTTTATGACAAACAACACTAATAGCACTATAAATAAAATTTTTATTTACTCAGTAAAAATAATGGAATACCAATATTAAATACTAAATTGGTAAGTTTTTTTTTTGATTTGCAAGAAAAGATTGACCAGTAATAAAATAATTTATTCAGTGATAATATAAATATAACTTTTTGAATAACTAAATGAATGTTAGTGTCCATTGAGTCTCCTAATGGTTAGAGATATATTTCTTAGTTAATTCTTGATTTTATTTTTTTATAATATAAAGAAGTCATTAAAATATATTTTATTAATAATAAAGTAATTATCATATATTGTTAATGGTTAATAAAAAGGTAACCATTAATCCTTATTTTTTAATTATTCTCAAAAAATTTTGAATAATAATTTTTCCAGATTTTTATTTTCAATGGAAATTGGAATTGTATATTGGTAGTATATGTTAAATGAGTTAAGTTTTACGACTATCAGCTTAAGTCGGAGTAAAATTGCCTCAAGCTCATGTCGACTAGATGATTTGGATAAAAAAAATTCTTTATATTTCATTTTGACAAAAAGGGCAATGTATATTTTAGATTGTAAATCTTATATTGTCGATAATTACGTTTTAATATACCCTTAGTTCTAGATAATTATAAAATTCTATTTGGGCTCTAGTTTTGTTAAAAATCGCGATTTGTGTCGATTTTCAAAGCCCTATTAAGGTTATAGCCAAAATAATATTATATAAGCCTCAAGACTTGACAAATAGACATTCAAACCTTTCTGCCATCTATGAACAATATCTCCTTGGCTAAAATCCTATTAGTGCTGTCTAATAGTGGGTTCAGAAATTGTTTTTTTTATTATATAACCTATTTTATTATTAAATTTTAAATATGGATCAAATCATGTTTTGATTATATTTTTTATTTAATTAGTAGTATTTTGAAATAGCGAAGTCGACCTCAATTAGGTTTTGAGTCAAATATCGGTCTATTTAAACCACCAATATCATCCTTGAATGTGAGGCTGGTGATAAATTTTTTAGCTCTCAAAATTAAATTTGAATTATATTTATTAAAACCTAATATTTTCCCGTATATGTATTACATTATATTTGTTATACAATTATGGAATCTACTATGTCCATAATAAAATGTATCCATGGGCTTTTATCCATATCAGTCCTATATTACCTTAGGGGCTTGCAGAAAATTAAGCATCTGCTTTCCTTTATTTAAAATTGTAAAATTATAGAAGGGCTTCTTGGTCTTGCTGGCTCTTGAAATATTGTTAACATAGTTTGTCTCATTTTAAGAGTTTTAATTCTATCTGCTTAATTATAAGTTTATAAATACTAATAATCTGATGGGCGCATCAAAATTTACTAGCAACAGCTATCTCTACTCTTAGAAGAACCAAGAATTCAGCCGTTTCTGAAGGTAGCTCGGACCTTTGATTTCCGTCAACGGAACTATAATTGTCTCTCTTTACTCAGTTGATTCTTCTATATAAATAAACATATTTTTTTATATAAACTGACCCTAAACTAAGCATCTCCAACCTTAATCTCCTCCACCTGCCTGCTTTAATACAAAATTTCAGGAGGAAACAAAGTAATTTTTTTTATTTGTAAAAATAAATTTCTTTCACAGATTTAAATTATTTATAAAATCAAAATAATGACAATCTATAGAAATTATATGACTGACATGTGAAAAATATAGAAATCGGAACTCTTAAGATTTTTTATTTTAGTTCTGAATTTTTTTTTTACCTCTAGATTTAATTAATTTTTATTAAAATAATAAAAGTAGTGGGTTTGGTCAACATGGCAGGTTTAGACTGACCAACCAATCCCAAAAAAATTCAAAAATAAGGTTGTCGTTGGATTCAGGTCGAGTTTAGAAAACTAAATGTAATCTAGTTAATCCTTTTGAAGATTATCCTCTATATTAAAAATAAATACATATAAGATTAATATTTTTTTAGAAATTAATCTTTATTATTGTTTAAAATATTTATCCTATAATTTCACTATTACGCGGCGATGATAGCAACTTTCCTTGTCAATTGGTTTTTTTTTATTTTTAAAATGAAATGTTAAATTATTTTTAAAATCAAGCTTAATTTTATGAAATTCAGAGACATGGTCATCGGCCTGGGCCCTATAATTTTTTTAAAATATATTATATTATATTTATTTTTATTCTTTATAGCTAATAATGGCTATTTAAAATACTTGTTTTTTTTAAAAAAAAATTCAGGCTCGGCCCGGGTATATTTAAAATAATTAACCTGGGCAGGCGAGATCTGTGAAATAATTATCCTTTAATTTTGTTCACAAATTGAAGATTTTATTCAATAAAATAATTCGATATTTTCGTAAATTAATCCGCCAATTTAACTAACCATGAATTTTTATACTTCCTTTTACATTTTAGGAATTAGTTGAATATTAAATAAATGGCCATTGCCACTTAAATTCTTAGATCTAGTTAGTAATTGCTCTATTTTTTAGTTGGATATAAAAATGACCTTTTTTAAAAAAATGTAGCTCAACTTTGAATGAAGCCTAAATTCGCACCTCAATGCTCCTGCAAATTTTCGTCAACGTCGAAATGAGCTAACTTTTAGACATTACCCAACTAAACTTATAATAACAGATTAAATTATTTATTCTAGGTAAAGTTCTTTCGTCAATATAGTTTATTTGGGAGGGCCAATATTTTTTGCAATAAAACAAAATAGACACCCAGAAACCTTTTGCTATTTTTATTTTAAATTATTAAAAATAAATATACAAAATAATGTAATATAATGCGACGATTTTAAATCTTACCATAAATAAATAAGATAAATTTAGATTTTTTTTTCAAATGCTATTAAAAGTAAATTTTGCTTTCGTCTGATTCTAAGTAAATGGAAGTACAACGTTAAAAATGAAAATATTGAATAACTTACGTTATACTCAAATATTAAGGATAGAAATAAGTTATTTTTGGATAACCCCTGGTTCCTGGGTAGTTAATTATACTCCACTATTAATTGGTATTTTAAAAGAATTCACCTCTTCATAAAATATTCGTCCCCTTTATATTATATATATTTAATATGTATTGATCTTAACGTTTAAGGATGACGAGATAGGCAGAAAGTAATTTGCCATTTATAATATCTTAAACTTAGCTAGGAAAATAGGTATTTTAAAAAAGTTTTCTTCTTCCTGTAAAAATATTCGTCGTATATAAATTGTTTTTAAATATTTTGACATGTATTGATATAATTAACGTTTAAGTATCATCGCTTGATAAGTAGGAGGAAGTTTGCAATATCTATAATTTGTCTTAATTGTTCGATTAATTAAATCTCGCTAACATTGACTGACTTACCATTAGAATTGAGAAGAATCATCATGGAAACAGACGAATTTACCAACACTAGTGGATTTTTGTTGAGGAATAAAAAAGGCGGATATTGCGTTGTTTTTTTAAAATGGTTAATGAGTGAATGGATATTTTATAACTTAATATTTAGTTCTTGTTTATCCAATTAATCTGGTTAAATAAAATTTTTCTAAGAATGTTTTTTCATTTAGATTTAACTGTTAATGACGAATTAAATTTTTTTTTTTAAATTTTAGGAGCAGAAAACAGAGCAGGTTTCGTAACCGGGAAATTTTTTAAGGCCCCCCCCCCCCCCTGGTGGCTACGGGCCTGATGGAAAGTTTCACTGATACTTGGTTATATTATTTTGGTAGGTTCACATCAATCAAGAGTTTATATAATTACTATTCAATAATAATAAATGATATATTTGGATTTCTAGAAGTCGGAATTCTAACGTTAAATAAGGTTTACTGTGTTTCCATTTTTATGATCAAAAACGGACACTATAAAGGCTATTTATCAATTTGTATAAAAGTTGACAAATAATGAATAACTAGTTCTATTTAATTTCTTTTAATATTAATACTTAAAGTAACAGTAAAATTGCCTGGATTTAAAGAGAAGAAAAAATTAGTATAATATCTGAAATTTTTTATTGACAGGTACAATCTTCCACGCTCATTGGGATCCAGAAATAATGACTACCCTGACATACTAACACATTACCAATTTGGCAAAACGAAGTGGTACATCTTCCTCTACCCACCTGCGTATCTCTTTGACATGGCTTATTAACCCTAAATAAATATCGATATTTATTCGAGATACTATCAATGTTTTGCTTACTTTTTACAGGAAACCCAGGTTACTTTTTGGTGGAAATGGTCGGTATTTACAATATGTAATAACCCTTTGACTGGATGGTCAAAACAATTTAAATGGACCAAATCGACATCGCAATTCGCTTGATCATACCTACACAAATTATTCAACTTCAGATATATGAACAAATAAATGACCTGTTGCATGATCTTCTTGTTGTAATTTGAGGGTTGCCAATGTATTCTCGATTATCGTTATAAAATGTTTGCCACTGACTTTGAATAATAGCATTCAATTAATAAGTTTTAAAGAAATAACTTCATCATTATTTACCTTGCATAATTATCATATCCTGAGCATTGACTTCTGCCCGTATCCGATGATTTACCAATTTGGATCCCTTCAATTTTAGTAATATTTATTCCATCCGCACAAGATAGGCATAGAATAGCGAATATTAAATAGAAATACATACTTATCTTTTTTTAAATCAAATTTCACCGTATTTTTTGAAAATTCAGAGAAAAAAATATTATAAAAATGAAAGCATATAAAAAAAGTTTTACTTATTAAATAAATATGCTAGATTAGGCAGAGCAAGGATAGATTGGTTAAATCAAGAATCAAAATTTGGCATGTTTAAATCTCGCAATGATGTAACATATAATTAACTACATAGTACTTTCTTAGATTTAATATTCAAATTGTTAAATTAATTATAAACATTACATTATATTTTTCGGAAGAATTGTAATGGAATTTCAAGGTTTTCTAAAAAACAACATATTTAATCAAGGATTAATTGATTCATTTGTATTTTTTTTAATGAAAAATATTAGTTTAATCTTGATTAAACTTCTCAAATATGGATAGTAAAATCTAATTTCATTTTGACCTATTTCAATAATAATAACCAATTCTAAGCCTTTAAGTTTATATATTGGTAACACATTTTTTAAAATGATAAAAATCAACAAAAAAAAGGATAAAATGTATAGCAAGGTAAGATTTATAATAATCTTCGTTTTATTAATAATTTCAGCATTTTATTGCAATTATATATTAAAAGATTGAAGTGCAATTAAGACACTATCTATAAACATTATACGATATCAATAACATTCATACATTGATAACGAATCATATAATAGAACCATTTTCGATAACTACTGCATCATAATCACGTGATAAAATCGATATTCAAGATTTTCGGTTCAGCACTAAGATTTCATTTTACTTACCTTTAAATAAATAAATTTAAAAAATAGGTTATTTCGTAATATGGAAATTCTTGAGAAAATAAATATCAAATAATAAATTTGTTATAACTATTGCGAAATAAATGGGCACATTTTTAACATGTTTGAGCTATAGATTTTGAGAGAGTATCCACATAACAGTCCAAAAGTTGCCATTTATGATTATCCATTGTAGGGTATGTAATTAAGGCTTCATCTTCATTCCTAATTTGCCAATCAACGTAGCCTTTTATTATTCTAACCACTTCCACTTGCATGGACACAATCTCGGATACATTAGCATCGTCGTTATTTATTGGTTTGGGGTGAGATGAAGCGTGAACTAATTTATGGTGCACGGAGTGCAACGTTGAAAAAAATTATTAACGATGTTTATATTTTAATTATCAATTAGCATAATTAAATTTAACATATATTTATGTCATTTTTTATTTTAGAAAATAGAAATTAAAATATGTCTAAAGCCATTTCCAGAACAGAATCTATTTTTCAAAGTGATTTCCTATGCATGTTTCCAACAAACATATTTTCTAAACAAAGGATAATAATTTGTCGAAAAAAATCTTAGACACAGAAAAAATTAAATTCAAAAATTGATTATCCTTTGTTCGGAAATAAAAAAATTGCTGATATGCCTGTCACAGAGCTTGAAATTGTGTTAACATTGTTATATAATATATATTATTTTTAAACAATATGCCAGTCAAAATTTTGTAAATATTTGATTGGATAATATTATAATTATGACTTTTTTTTAATAAAAAATGAAAATAAATTTTTGAATAAAATAATTGAAAATTGAAATAATAAAAGTTGTATAAAATTAAATTCAATATGAATTAAAGTAATTAAGAATCGAGAGTTAAATAAATAGAAGACTAATAAAATGCCAAGCAAAACCGCTTTGAAAAATAAATTGTCTGGAAGTTGCTTTTGGGTTTTCGCACTTTTTTTTGGCGTTTTCAGAAAAAATTACCTCGCTTTTTTGTATCATAAGGTTTACTATTGTTAACTTTAAAATTATTTCGTGGCTTGTGGTAATTTGTCAATTCCTTCTCGTTAGTATGATTAACTGTAAATAATAAAAAAATTTTAGTATAATATGTTTTGATAAATAAAAATTAATAGACTAATTAATTATGGGAACAAAAACAAAATATAATTCCGCCCTAAAGAGAAAGCATGTAAATTATGCAAAGCCCCTCCTCGAATAATCGCGCCATTTTTTCCCGCAAATAAATAAAGGATAGGGGGCACTATAAATCCCTTTCTAAATTAAATTTAATATTGCTGTATAAATAGCTATTAGCACGCCAAAAGATTATTCTCAATTATGTCTCAACATTTTTTATTGTGGTAAGAGTTTGATTAAAAAATTCATTTATCAAAAGGCATTTAAAAAAAATGGTTCCTATTTAATCTTTCAGAACAGAAAATGTAATGCTCAGAAAAAAAATCTACTTGCTCAGGTATGAAACTGAAACGCTCAGAAAAATCGTTTTAAATTTCAAGAAAAATATCCATGAAACTCGGTAATAATTATTAGCTTTAATTTTTCTATAAGCTATTAAGGAAAAAAAAATTTGAGTGTTTCATCTTTTATCCAGAGCGAAATAATATAAGTACAATATATAATACTCAGCCGACGATAGTTTATGCATTTATTTCACAAGAAAAAAAGGAATATAGAAAAAAAGAATGCATGTTAAATAATAACCTTGCCTTAATAGTAGTGTTGCATGATAGGGTAAAAATCTCGCCTTAGCCCAAAAATCAGTTAAAACTAATTAGTCAAAAATTAGGCATTGGCTAACGTCAGCGTTACGAAAGATAAGCGCCCTTAATTACTATGTAACGCTGACGGACATTAGCCGAGCTCCTTAGCCGATGCCTAATTTTTTTTACTAATTGGTCGATTTTTCGTGGAAGCTTAATTAAGCTTAGCCGAAATTTTCTCCTAAATACTAGGGACTGGTTTTGGATATAAATTATAAATAATCAAATTATTACCGATCACAAGACCCTTGCCCCTAATTTTGCCCAAACCATCATTCGAAATAAACAACAGAGGCTAGGATATATCGTCAACGGTTTTCAATTTGATATTAAAAGAAACAAAGGTTGGAAGGGAGACTATAATCAATCGGTAATCATGGACAAGTAGTCGTTAGAAGCTATGAAATTAAGAGCGATCGTTTGAAACCACATAAGCTTAACAAAAAAATGTGATCAATTCAAACTGTCGGGCGATAAAGATAGCAGTAAAATCGACCATTAGGATAAAAGACTAAGAATTCATCTATAGGTTGTATAAGCTGTCGAGAAATAAGGAAAAAGTATAATATATATCTAAACAAGCTGTCGTAGAAAAAATAAAAGATCAATTTTTAGACGCTATCGTTAGAAGCAACAAAAAGTTGAGATTAAAAGCAATTGTTAATCTTTTACAAGCAGTCGTTATCATTTGATAGAGATAAAGCGCTAATCATTTACAAGAGGTCGTTAGCGATGCGCTAGTATAAATAGTTAATGGTTTATTAGAAGAAATAAAAGCTAGAAAACATATAATCTATCAGAAATATGCAAACAGTCGTTAGAGGCTACTAATACTAGACAAAGGTACAGGCTCTAGAAGCCTAAAAGAGTTAACAAAAAAGGGGGATTAAATTACGTAAATGAAAGGAGACAATCGTTAAGGGATATATAAGATCATTAAAGCAGGAATATAAATTGGAAAATCCTATTTATTATTAGAATAATGGTCTGGGCTAAATTAAGGGGAAGGGTTTTGTTATTAGTAATAATTTGAATATACGTTTTTAAAAAAAATATAATATGCATATTTATTCGGAGGCGAATTACATAGAATTTATTTCGTTTTTTATTATATAAAGGATTTTATCTAAAGTACTTTTTAATTTTTATGTTTTGGTTTTTATAATTTTTTTCATTTAGTAATATTTTTATATTAAATATCAAATATAATTAATTAATTCTTATTGTAACAATAACATTTAATATTAACAATACTAAATACTTATAGGAGTTTATTGCACCAAAAAAATTATTCTGGATAAACACAACATAGAATTATTTATAAAAAATAAAATTTAGTGACTAATTAAAACTTATATGCCAATATAGTAAAATGAGGTAAAATAAAATGTTTTTATTTGAAAAAAAACTGATCATCATTTAAAGTGTTAAAAAATGGGAAATTGATAATCATGCCAATCATATCAAATTCCTATTATTTGCCTGATACAAAGTTTAGATAAATCTTTCTAAAATAATAATAATAGGTGTTCATGTGCTATGATTATTAATTTCTCAAATCATAATTTGATAAAGTATTAAAATCAAATAATTAGTAAAACCAAGGCCATATTCAAATATATTATAATAAGATTAAAATCTAATAAAGAAACGAGAAATAGATATTAAATAATTTTTTCTTATTACAATTTTAAAATCATTTGATTCCATTAGCGATTTAAATCAAATTGATTTTTATTCCCATACCAAGGTCATGATATTTGAGATCTGGTACAACAAAATCTGACCAATTTGGGCACCGTTGGGACGGAGATTTTTGCCAATTTATCAAGACAACAGTAGTTAATAGGAGTTTGATTGTCACTAAAAAAATTTGGTCAAATTAGGGAGTTGACCAAATTATCAGGAGCCCAAATTATAAAAGTTTTACTGTATAATGTTCAAGTTCAAACAATGTAGGAGAAATGTTATATTTTATAATAGTTGAACAAAAAAAATCCTTTTATCATTCACAGCTAATTCCAAATATAATTCATAAAGTTTTATAAGTTATAACATAAAAATCTTAATTCTATATAAAACATTGTTGCAGTAAGAAATTTAACTGATGGATTAACTTTTATGTATAAGGGTAAAGTAGCCTATCCTTCTTTTAAAAAAATGAAATATCATATATTATACATGATTTGAAATATAAACCTAATTCCATGTAGGAACCATTTGATTTTTGAAGTAAATGTTTGAACAAATCGGGGTAAATTCCATTTATAGTTACGCCCATCGTGGCAATCCCACCCATAGACTTCAAAAGCTCGGTGGATAAACTCTTGTTAGCTTGAAACGGGTCGTTCGAATTAAGATTAAGATCCCACTGCCTTAGTAGAGCGGTATCCTTAGTGGCCTAAATAATACATTTAGGAAACAGTGAAATATTAAACCAAAGCCTGGTTATTCCTAAATTACATGATATAATAAAAAATGATGCAAAGTCGTATCCTTTGTGAGACGAATCTATATGCAAACTACCACCTAATATGAGTATGAACGATCAAAGAATGTATGCACTATTAGCAAAACATAAGTTATCATATGTAATTCCTATTATAAGTAGTGGAGATCGGGGTGAAACAAAACAGGGAGCACGTCATATCACTTTATTACATTTTAAAAAATGTTAAAGTTTAGAAAGTGGAATTCAAACAAGGAGAATCTAGCTGTGTTATACTGATGTTTGAGAAAATATTAAAAAATGGTAAACCCGTAGGTCCTACAAGAGCAGCAATGAAAATAATAAAGACATCTAGATGCCTTATAGTTGAGTGAATTATTCACTTATGTTCAATATATTAAGACAAGGTCTAAGGTGGACCCACAGAAGAGGTATGTGAAATGAAGTTGCTTAACTCCCGAGAAATATACCATGCCATGCATGTAATTTTTGAGAATGAACCTATCTGGGGTCATTCCAAGCTAAATCGACAAAAAAAATAAAATTTTCAGACGAGCATATCTAAAATAATAGTAAAATCAAAATTTTAAAGCGCTAGTCAATCAGGTCCAAAACATATGTCTCCTTTGAAAACCGCGCAAAGCTTGATGTCATCATTAAATCTCATTTAAAATAAAAATATTTATGATTCACAAATTATATATCATTTTATAGCCCTTAAAATTATACAGGAAAATATAAAAAATTTTTTTTAATACCAAGTGTTTTCTTATTTCAGATAAAAATGAAAAATTAACATTGTTGACAATGGATTTGCTTTGGGTGTTGATATTAGCTGGAAATGTTTATTACCTTAACATTATATATTTATTCAAAAAAAAAATAGATAGCGTTTTTTTCGTTTTATTTAAATTTTTATAAATAAACAAATATATTATAGATGGAGCTATGCTTGAAATAATATTAGTAAAAAATTTTGGTATATTTACTGTACCGTTTAATCCAAGTGAATTTCAATTGGCTGAACTATGTTATGAGTCCTGCACTAAACCTTTTTTATAGCTCCGATCCGAGATATTTTTAATAAATATATTTGCCCAAACAATCAAAAAATATTATTTATTACTTTTATTGTATTAGTTTATTTATTACCTTTATTGTATTAGTTTATTTATTTTTTATTCTTTTCTTTCTATGGTATTTTTAAAAATTCTACCTTTGTTATGTCATTCCTTCATGGCTATAAAGCAATCATATCTTTTTTAAATTTAAATATATGTTACAACAAAATGAATTTATTATAATCTGTTATTTTCCTGAAATTTATGCCCTTGTAAATTATATATTTTATTTATAAACATTTAAATAAATTCTAAAAACTAAAAAACGCTATCAATTTTTTCGATTAAACAGTTTAATATAAAGATAATAAATAAAAATCCCTTCTCAACAATTTTATATTTTTTATATCAATGAAGAATATTAAGGGCTCTAAAATATATATATAATTTGTAACTATATCATAAGTAATTTTACAAAAACAAGATTCAATGAAATCATTGCGCGAATTTCGACTTTGTTGGCATATATCTTTGTTGAACTATATCATGCCAAGTTTCATTCATTTTTGAAATGCTCGTTCGAAACACTGGTTGATTTGCAATGGAATGACCCAATAGAAGAGATCCCTTAGTACTCCTGAGGCATTATCTTGGTCACAACTTTTTTTTAGTACCAATAAGAAGGGACATGCACCTCCAAACGTTTATTATTCCCACTAGCCCTTATGATTTTTTTTATATAATTGGTTCGGTTAATTAAATTCAATTTCTAAAAATAAAATCAGTCTCAGGTGATATTCAATGAGCAATCGATTTATTCAGTTAATTGAAATTAACAATATTATATTATCTCGCTATGAATTCATTCCAAAATGTTTATTTGATATAAATTACTAGGAAGGCTCTTTTATGCTCATTGCAAAGCAAGTGATTTAGTATATTATCGTTTGGAGATCCGTATGATAACGTCTTTTGAGAATCGCATAAATTACAAGTGTATGTTGTGTAAAGCAATTTACAGCTCTTGTAAAATTGGTGTTCGATGACAAATTCCATACCTATTATATTATATATAAAAATTTCATGCTTAAAAATATTTTTCTATTTTCCTTTTAATATTTTTGTAAAAAATGGTAAATATAACTATAACTCAATAAACAAAAGTTTTAAATGTAAACAAAAATATCAACAATGGCAAAATATTTATTATAATAAATAATGTATAATATATAATATAATGGTGGGGGTTTTTTACCATGTGCGTTAAAGGAACAAGAGGGATAAGGGAGTGTTTCAAAGAAATACTTGTAATTCCCTTTTAGGAATTCAATTTGGGTTTTTTGTCTGAGGGAAAGGGACTCGTTTTTAAACCCCATCCTTATTGAAATTTTCCTACCCAATTGATTTAAATATTTTAGGGATTGAGTATCAGGGTTCCCTAAAACACTAAGAATTAATAGATAAAAATAAAAGATTTAAGAGGGGCCTATATTTACTGCATTTTTTAATTTCTTGGAGTTCCAAGAGGTCAGAGTTTCTGTTGGAGGGAAATGAGGCAACACTGACATATCCCAGACAAGCCTTTCCGCCGATCCAACATATTAAGGATATGCCATCGGGACGCTTACCATCAAAAGACCTAATGGTTCCAAACCAGTGTGGAAACAGGCGGAAAAAGATTTACCGATCAACTTATTAAGATTGTCATGTCGCAAAAAGCGGCCGCTGACTTTAAGGGGAGAGAAACAATGTCTAGAAATTAGATCAACTTGCTTATTACGGCAACAAAAATCAATAGACGGTATGAGACAACCTAGCCTAGCCAATGGCAATTTGAAACTCAGTTTGTGGTAACACGTCCTTTTTCCTACTTGAGATCGCCTCTAGCCATTCATGGACGTTATAAATTTTTTTTGCGTTTCTAAGTAGTCGAAGGCTAGTTAGATCGGGACACAAACAAAGTTTTTCAAATGCACATTGAAACATGGGAATTCTTTAAATTGCTGAAAACAGGGTGATCGGACCCTTGGAGAATTAGAGTACACCAAGATTGTTTGGCCAAAGCTAAAAGTGGATCGTTCAACTCGATAAGCGAGGAAATAGAGTAGTTAAAAGATACCCGTAAAGAAGGAAACAAACAATTGTCATGGGTAAATCCAAGTTTTCCCGGGTAAGTCGGCAAAGATGCAAATTACTAATCAAAATTAGAAAATTTTAGAACTAAAAGGGATTCGATGAAATGTTTAAATTTTACTTCGAAGGACTTAAGGAGGGAATTATTGGAAAGTCGGGGTAGATTTAAAAATGTGCAAGAATTTAGGTAAGAAAATTATTTTTTGACGAGAAAAAAAACAGATTTTTAAGCGAATTAAAAAGAGATTGTATCACATTGTCAATTTTTTTTTGACAAAATGAAGTTGAAAAGCCGACTGAAGAATCTAAAAGAAAGAGATTTTCCTACGGAATAATTTTAAGGTCTGGGGAGAGATAATATCCTTATTGTTGAGAAAGGATATCTCGCATCATTTTCTATTTAAGGAAAGGCCACTATTCGAAGCTTCCATTTCAACGTAATCGATGCCGATATAACATTGGGTAATGATCCGCCAAAAGTGTCATAGTGGAGACACCATAAATTTAGGTCTAATTTGAAATCAGGCCTTAAATTTTTGATCAAATCCTGAACACCTATAGTAAAGCAAAGGACCTATGGTTAGCCTTGCTGATTCCCCTCTTCAGAGGATATGAAAAATTCCCCGAATTTGAATTACAAGGGAAAACAGGAATTAAGAAATTCCAATATTTGAGTAAATGTTGTAAGAGGGTAAAAATGAACTCCTAAAGTCTAAATTGCCATATAAATAATTAAGGAGGACATATATTAAAATGATAAATGAACCTCCACTTGAGTATTTTAATTTGGACTCTTTGTTTTAGGTGATAAAAACTCGTGAACTAAATAGATTATACCTAATAATGGTTCTGTGATTAGTTGAAGTGTTTCCTGGATAAAGGGTTGCACATCTATAAAAACTTCCTTTTCATCAGTCAGATAATTTGAAGTTCCATTTGATTTATTATATTCTAGAGACATATTAAATTTCATATTTTCACTTGCCCCTTAATAAATAAATAAAATTAAATATACACATCAATCATAATGAATTGATTTATAAATTTAAGGAAAATTTCATTTTGATTAAACTTTTATCAGGTAAAATATCAGGCGGTATTGGAATATTTTCATTAATTTTTATCATCATGTCAGCCCACAATTTTGCTGCCTCAGCTATTTTGTGTGTTTCATCGTTCTTAATTAAAGGATACTCTATTAAAATAATATTTTTTACTTTATAGGTTATAGTTTATATATCAATTTTACAATATGAATTAAGGTATATTATAGTATATCATAAATAATTAGACCCATGTAAATAAATGTATTGGGAGAAAGGGGGGGGGGTGAGAATTTAAGATATTCCTTTTAGCGATTTTTTTAAAAATTAAATTTAAATTCGCCTAGAATCTAATATAAATATTCTCAATTTACTATGATATTTTTATTTCAATAATTTAGAACCTATTTTATAATCTATCAAATATTCCATATACTAATGAATAGCCTAAAAACAAAATTAGTTATTTTTTGAAATTTAGAAAAATGGGGGGGGGGGGGGGTGGATAAATAGCTGCTGAATTTTTGCCTTGGACCACCAGAAAAGGTAACAGCCCCTTCCCTGCAAATAGTGGTAGTTATATAGACAAATAAACTTTTATAAATGATTAATTTATATAATATTTATTCATTTTCTAAAATGAAATAACTTCTAATTGCATATCAATTGTGCGAAGCCTATTTTAATCAATAGAGGAGGCAAAATATATTATATGCAGGATTATCCTATTGGAGTGGGGTACTATTATGTGAGTTTTTCCCAGGGATCCAAACCTAACAAATGGGCCATCTCATGTCAAATTGATCAAGATTTGGCCGACCTCTTTATAAACTGTTAAAAATTTCTGGAATTATCTAGGTAGGTAAAAAAAAAATGAGAAAGCCCTTTATTTTAGTTCGCTAGCATACCTGGTTCTCGAAATATAGGGAGCTCATAATGGAATCTGTAAAATTTTTAAAATGCTTATATCTGAAAAACTATTTATAGTAAAACATATAAAATTCGGCGCCAATTTGAGTCTTTAACTTCCGGTTTACCTATAATGCTTTACCTGTGTTTTTAAACAATAAAGGGAGTTTCGAAAATTTCTTTTTGCCTTTCATTTAGACCAGGGTTGGCAAGTCGGTCAATTGACCAGTCAAATTCAGTCAATTGACGGGTCAATTGACCGGAGGAGTATTTGACCTGTCAAATACGGTCAAATACTCTAAAAAATTTAAAGGAAGAATAAATTGAAAATATGTTTAAAAAAGGGAAAAAAGATGTAAATACATGTGATCACAATGTTAGCTTATTTTTTGTGTTCACAATATCAAGAGGAGAACTCACAAGTATGTGATATAATTCAAGAATTAGCTCTTTTACAAGATAGTGATGACCAAAATATTTTAAGTGATATAATTAATTTCAGAAGCAAAAACAGCATGTTTAATATAGCAAATTATGCGGAAAGTATAATTTCCAGAAACAATCAATTCCGACCTCTAGTTAATAGATTAAACTTTGTCCACCCTGCCCATTAAGAGACTAACAATTCCTAGTTCTAATTCTTCTTTAGAAAGAAATAGGTCGATTAGAATTAATATTCTTATGAAAATGGAAATCGATTGAAGATCTAAGACATCAGGAAAATTGATTAAAAAATATTAAAGAAAATGATAATATTGAAAATGAATCAGAACAAGAACTCCGCTACGTTAGTTATTGAATGACAATGAATTTAAAAAATTAATATTATAGATTTTATTTTACTATTATATTCAAAATAAAGTTAATATTAACTTTAAAAAAACGTATATTTGAATTTGACCACATTTGACCGGTCAAATATCGGTCAATTGACCGAAACGTATTTGACCGGTCAAATGCACAACCCTGATTTAGACACATTTTGTAAAATATCGATTTCAAACCCTTGACGACCCGACCCTATCGGCTCCTACGAAATATACATTTTTACTAAAAATTGAATGAAAATAGATATCGCTTTACTAAAATACGGATTATGGTTAAAGTTTTGTTGCCAACTTACAATTACCAGGATATTTTTATAATTTATACCAAAATATTTAGGATTTATATTAAATATACCAATTAAACTGAGAGGCAGTGGGGGCAAATGCCCTTTAGACACTTAATAATGTTACAAATTTCGAAAAATATCTTTCGTATAATTTTTATATTATTAATATAAAAATATAGATAAATAATCAAATTCAATCCATGATTCTTTGCGATTCTGTTGAGTTTGAATAAAATTTAGCTTCAATTTTATCCTGAGAAATTGGATGAAAATTATGAAATTTCTGCGTTTCTGGTTGCGCTTTATTGAATCTCTCTTCTAAAATTTTTTGCTCTTTCTCATATTCGTCTTCCATATATTATATGAGAAATCTATTCTTAATATAAAAAAAATTATAATATGTATTAATAAATTAGAAATCTTATACCTTTAATATTTTCCTTAGAATAGGCAAAAAACTCTTTAGGACAAGTTATTTGTTCTGAAACAGATCTTTGTAAACTAGCCCTGGACATTAAACATCTAACTGTACCGTCAACCCCATGGCCAATTTGTGAAATGCCACTGTTTTTATTCCTAAATCATTTTCATGGTGTCAAAGATTGATTAAATTTTTGAATTCTTATATTGTAATGATGTTCCATCTGAAAAGTAGAAGAATTTTCTTGGTCAGCATTAAAATTTATCTATTAGGCAGGACTCAATCTTCTTGGAATAAATGACCGGCAATCTTATTTTGAATGAGGTTTCAGATATTATTACACAACTTAAATGATTTAAATAATTTAGTGACTTGTAATAAATCACAAAAGGATGAATGGTATCCTGTGCTTTATTCCAGTGAACCTCCTGTACTCATCTTGAACCACAAAGGTATAATTTTCAGCAAAAATCTGCCAGAATGATCATTTTTGTTCACTTATTAATTTTAATAGAATTCATGAATATTGCTTGCAGTGTTGTTATAAATGAGTTAAGCTATTCGAAAAGAGTTTCTATAAAATTAGAGGTTAATGAAGTGAGAGTTACAAGATTTGTACGATCTGTAGTTACCTATTACCAGGGTTGGCAAGTCGGTCAATTGACCAGTCAAATTCAGTCAATTGACGGGTCAATTGACCGGAGGAGTATTTGACCTGTCAAATACGGTCAAATACTCTAAAAAATTTAAAGGAAGAATAAATTGAAAATATGTTTAAAAAAGGGAAAAAAGATGTAAATACATGTGATCACAATGTTAGCTTATTTTTTGTGTTCACAATATCAAGAGGAGAACTCACAAGTATGTGATATAATTCAAGAATTAGCTCTTTTACAAGATAGTGATGACCAAAATATTTTAAGTGATATAATTAATTTCAGAAGCAAAAACAGCATGTTTAATATAGCAAATTATGCGGAAAGTATAATTTCCAGAAACAATCAATTCCGACCTCTAGTTAATAGATTAAACTTTGTCCACCCTGCCCATTAAGAGACTAACAATTCCTAGTTCTAATTCTTCTTTAGAAAGAAATAGGTCGATTAGAATTAATATTCTTATGAAAATGGAAATCGATTGAAGATCTAAGACATCAGGAAAATTGATTAAAAAATATTAAAGAAAATGATAATATTGAAAATGAATCAGAACAAGAACTCCGCTACGTTAGTTATTGAATGACAATGAATTTAAAAAATTAATATTATAGATTTTATTTTACTATTATATTCAAAATAAAGTTAATATTAACTTTAAAAAAACGTATATTTGAATTTGACCACATTTGACCATATTTGACCGGTCAAATATCGGTCAATTGACCGAAACGTATTTGACCGGTCAAATGCACAACCCTGCCTATTACTGTAAATAATATATTCGATATCACTTGAATATAATATTTCACTCATCATGGCCATTAAATTAAAAGATCCAGGGCATTGAGCACAATTATCAAAAAAGAAAATTAGAAATGCTGAATTACAAATTATTTTTGGCAATATATCTTTATATGAAATCTTAATTAAATCTTTATTTAAATTAATTTTAGGAGAATAAATTTTTCACCTGTGATATGGAATAAAATTTTAATTGAACTGCACCTAGAACAAATGTTTTTCCACTCTCCAAACCCCAAATGTTATTGGTAGACAGGCGAGTTAAAATAGTATGCATGTTCCTTTTTATTGCAGTTTTTATACAATTTTATTGAGCTAATAAGTCATTCGTTATAGTAGCAAAGTATAGATCTAAAAAAATGTAAAGCTAGCTTTTTAAGGATGGTGGGAGGGGGTGGACTGGAAAATTTTGTCATATTTATATAAACGAATATATTCTTTCATTTTAAATAATATTTTTCAACCATAATCTGTAGTTTCATATAACTCCATCTATTTTCTTTCAAATTTGATAAAAATGTATATTTCTGAAGAACCAATAGTGTGCATTGTATAAGGCAAATAGAAATTTTCGAAAAAAAACTCCTTTTATTTAAAAACACAGGCAAAGCTATAAGTAGATCTGAAGTTAAAGATTCAAAGTGAAGCAAAATTTTTTATTTTTTGTAGAGATTTTTTTTTTACCTGCAGTATGATATATTATATTTTTTTACTATAAATAGTATTTGAGATATAAGCATTTTAAAAATTTTACAGATTCCAAAGTGGCTCTTTTTTGCACCTAGAAGTCCCTATATCTCTGGAACGATGTGTAATTACTTTTTACCTATCCAAATCCAAAATTTTTTCAACAATTTAAAAGGGATTGGCCAAATTATTTGACATAGAATAACTCAAATATTGGTTTTGGTTTTCAGATAAATATAAATATAATGGTTAATGGTTCAGATTTATAAAAAATAATAATAGTAATTCAATTTGAATCTCTAAATCTGATTCAAACCTTTTCATTATTAGAATTATGCAAAGAAAAACATATTTTTATAATTATATTACTATTCTACACTAAAAATAATTATTTATATTTATCAGTCAAAACTTTTTAATAATTTTTAAAAGAGTGTGATTCAGGTTCTGGTGACAAATTCTTCTTAAGATTCTAGTTCTGTGATTCAGGTTCTGGTGACAAATTCTTCTTAAAGATTCTAGTTCAGTTTAGGTTGGCAAATAATAGTTCAGTATAAAATCATGGATTTTCCCCTTTCAATTCTATTGGAAGTTTTTGTGCCCAATTATTGAAGACCTTTGGTTGGCTAAGTTATAAATTTAAAATGTTTTCTAAAAACTTTGAATAAGTCATTATTTAAAAAATGATTAACTTTTATTTATCTTCCTTTTAAATTATTGTTTATAGTGATATATTGTATTCATTTTTAGGGGAGAGGGGTGGGGGGGAAGGGGGGGGGTTTATTACACTAAAATAATATTCAAGCACAGGAAAATTTTTGAGGAAATCTTATGCACCAACTCTTTAATGCATTTTCTAACAGGTTACAATTAAAAATTTATCAGACTATATGTCGTTTAATAAAAATTTCTTTAACATTTTACCTTTATTAATGGTTAAACCAACATTTTTTCTCCCATATTTCTTTTCTATAAAGTCTGCTGCACTTTCAACTCTTATGGTTAAGTCTTTTGTATAATTTTCCTTATTTACATCTTTCAAGCACCCATCATATATATCCAAATAATTTTTTTTCTAAATTATATATAAAAATAACTATTTGTTAAAAAATGTCAAATTACCAAATATAATAAGCGATGATTCAGGCTCATAATATGATCCAAAAATTCGTTTTGACTAAAGTTTGAATTAATACATAAAGTACATTTATATCCTAAATTATTGTTAATTGACAAGAAATATTCAATGTATTCAAGACCTAATTATAAAAATTGATATATCTATAAATTATAATAATACTAACCAATCAAAGGACTTATACATGAATCAATAAGTTTCTGTGTTGAAGTATCTGAATTTATGCTAGAAATTGCCATAGCCAAAACTTATGAAAATATATGATCACCTAACCCAAACTCTTGATCTTAATTTTATTGGTCAAATGTTAATATAAAGTCAAAATTTTATTTTAATAAAATTGATTTTCTTATTGAAATTTGCTCATTTGAAAACATCGTATATAAATATGAATAGATTAAATAATAATCATTTAATTTTATTGAAATAGACTATTCTACCCTGATATATGGTAGCGTTTTCAGAATAAAGCAGGATGATTTGTAACTAATAAATTGATGATAATAGTTTAGTTTATAGGAAAAAGATCAAAATAATTAAAATGATGTTTATATATATATAGCGATTCATTAATTAAAAGTGTGCGTAAAAAGGAGCCAGCTGCAGCGGAAATATTTGTTCTGTGTGCGCACTAATTGTCTTATTTTTCATCATATGAATGGATATTAGTGACATTTTATCAACGTGCGAACAAAAACTACTATTTATAGACAATTTTAACGAATGAATATCTGCAAATACATGCTTGTAAACCTAAACTAAATATATTTGACAATAATGTAATTATATAATAAATAAGGAAAATATATTTTAAAATAAAGTTATAAATCATGTTAATTTTATATACAAAAATTATAAAATAGCAGAATTTATCCTAAATTAAATTTATCGTAAAAAGTATTTTAATTTTGATAGTTTACTAATACAAAATTAGAATTTCAAATAAGGATATAATTAATAAAACTTGACATATATATCACATGTCACATTTACCTATTATTTTATTTTCGGAATGTCATCAATTTAAATTTATGGTGTCAAGTTTTGTTGCAACTTATAATATAAATGGTAAACCAATTATTATTGAACGCTTCTGCGATAGCAATATTCTTTTATACAGTATATCTTCTAAAAATCACTCATATTTAATAATAATAATTCTCATAAATTTATTATGCATAAATTATGTATTAATTTATGATATCTATATCCTGGGAATTATATTAGTTCTAGTAGATATCTACATATTTAAAAGTAATCGTTTGGAAGAAAAATTATTGATATTCAAATTTTTTGGAGTACAAGTCACCTCAGGATCCTTACTAGGAAAATCAACTTATTTTATTCCTTATGAATGTATTAAAGATATAGTAATTATTGAAGGAATAACATTGTATCAGGTTATGCATTATTTGGCAATAGTCTACACAAATGAAAGTGACACAAAAATATTACCATTATTCAAGCATCTATGGCCACCATTTCGAATACTCAAAATTTTATATAATGATATACATAATTCATATTTATAGTGTCTTATATTTATATAAATTTTACATCACTATTTATACAAAACACTAATAAATTGGAATTTTTTATTATCACATTAAAATATATATTTACGAGTTAACATTTATATAAATATTGTTTTATTTAAAAATTACATAATTTTCACTTAATTATTTTACATAAATTCATTATACACCAGAGGTAGTTAAAAAATGTATAGAAATTATACCTAAAAAGAATTAAAATTATTAGATCCTAATTAAAAATAAATAAGGAAAATATATTATCTGTCAATCAATTTTTTATCTATTATTGATTGAATTATTTATAAAATTTAACATTATATTAATTAAATATTCAAAATTATTTTAAAATACACAATTTATTTTTTCCCATATTTATTAATCATTCTTAAATTTTATTAATCTATTTTTAAGGAAGTTATTTTCAAATATGATGAAATCAAATTGAATAATTTTTTTTATTATTCTCTTACAAATAAGGAAATATTTAAATTGTATGAATACTACAATTTTTCAATTTGAAAATACAAATATTTGATCCACATTTTTGTAAGTATATTAGAAACAAATAATAATTATTTTATTTTTAAAAAATATAATTTTACTTATTTTTCTAAAGCACATTTTACTGTTTCAAAAGATGAAAAAAAAATGCAATTTGGAACATCTCAATTAATTTTTTTAAATAATATTAAAAAGAATTGATTAGTAAAATATATCAAATTTTCATATAATTTGGTTAAATAAGTATATAAAGAATAATGAATGAAACTTAAGCTAATTATCTCAATTTGACAATCAAGCAATGTTTTAAATTCTATAATTTACCTGATTAATATTTTGTCAAACACTAAAAAGGTTATTAAATATCTAAATTTTTGAGTTTATAGAGTATAATAAAATATTATATTTTACAAAAATCTTTATTTATCAAACAGCTCATAAATTCACTTCCCTTTTTTTATTAACATGATTTAAATACATTTATATATATATTATAAGTTTCCATGCTCTTTCTTTAATCTGTTACTATATGTTTTTGAAACAAGGTTCCAAGAATCCATATACCTATCCATACACATGGCTAAACATTTCTATAAAATATTTTCAAAAATAAATTGCAATACTTATTTATACTTGTTCATAGTTATCCAAAGAAGCCCCTGGTTTAGATATACATTTTTGAAAACATTTATCTGACATTTTCTATATGCAAGCTTATATCATTATTTATTTGAAAAGCAAAACTTGTATCAATTCTTGCGCATTGGCAAGCGCAATTTGTTGCCTAACCTTTTCTATAACATCTTGCTTTTGACCTGCCGTTAATGTTGAGGAATTATCCGAATTGCCAAATGAATCCATGTGGAGGATGTATTAGTATTATTTTAAAAAAATGCTTTAATAACAGGCATACAAAAATTACAAAAATTGACTGTTTGATTGACGGTTTCGCTAACTTTCTTACTTGTTAATATATTTTTATACAGTAGACTATAAAATTTAATTATAATTTTTTGCTAATTAGTTAAAATTTCTCCGATTACTAATGTCATTATAAGGCGGGTGAGAAGTATAATTATATTTCAAATTAATTTGTATTTTTTGTTTAGAAATAATTTTGTTAGCTTTTAAAAAATTAAAGTTGGGCTTGACAGTTGCCTAAGGATAGAGTTAACATGATTTGTATAAAAATATAATTAGTGGATTTAGAGTATTTTTTTTATCTCAGCACTATCAACCGGATTCGAATTAACATTTTTTGGAAAGGAAAAGGTCAATGTGAAGTCCAAATTTATTAACCAAAGGATAAGCAGTCGTGGATTGGCTCTATACCAAAGTGGGCATTCTGCCCAAGAAACCGTTAAGAAATGATAATTGAGGTTGCTTGAAAAAAAGGACCAATCAAAATATAACAATATATTATATTTACTCAATTTTTCTCTAGCATATTATTTTAGAAATTTATTTGTTTATTCATGTTATTCGCCATGACAATTTTATTGGAAATATTTTGTTTATATTTATTTTATTTATAAATTAATTGACTGATTTTATATATCACGTGATTCCTTTGTCTCAAAAAGCTATGATAGGACGAGATTTTTATATTACTTATCTTTTTTTTTAAATATTGGGATATATTTTTTTGGCGAATAGAATTGCCATTTTTTAAAGGTAAATTTATTTATTTAGTTTAAGAGTTATAGGGAAATCATGTGGATTGTGAATGTGATTATACATTTGTTGTAATTAATATTTTCTAAAATTTCGAGTGCCCGAGTCCCAATACCCCCTCCTCCGTAATGGAACTTAATAAAATCTAAATATAATAATTGTATGGGTTGCTAACATCTTAGCATAATTCTTTTATTAATAACAATGTAATATTAATTCAATCTTTTATGAATTTATGCAAATTCAAAATGTTAAATACAGCTCAAATGTTTTGGAAATTTTTTAAATAATGGAGGCAATTACTGCAAGCAAGATCCGATTGGCCTTTTTAGGTAAAAGCATTTTTTATAATTGTTCAGATTGCAAAGAGTTTGGTCGAGATGTAAAGTACTCACAAGGAATGTACAATATTTTTGTAAAAAGCGTATTGATAAAATAAATAAAAAGGATATTTCTAAAAAGGCCTAAGGAAAGTTTGGCAATGAAATCTATTGTACCCAGTGTCAAATTTACCCGCCTCTTAAAATTAATTTTCGGGTTAAATGAAAAAAGGGAGGATATTGTTATTAGAGTTCACTAACGAAAATGATATTACACAAGCTGATATTATTAACTCCCAGGGATGGTTTTGATTTGTCCCAATTCTGAGTTTTCAAAATTCTTATTTCAAACTCTGATTTTAATTCTCAAATAATATATCAATCTTTAATATGTATTTATGAGTTTTTGAACCTATAATATACACACAATTGCATACACTAAGCACATATTTTGCCAATCATTATATTTTATCATTAATTTATGAAGTTGTCAAAAACTAAAAAGTTTATAAAATAGGTTGAAAGAAATATCGATACGACAAAATTATATTTGAAATATGTATTTCTTGAGAAACTAAATTAGGGGAAAAAACTGAAAACATAGGAAAAATAGGGGAATTTTCCATTTAAATATGTTATTTGCAATATTAAATTTTTTTTCAAGCTCACTATCCTATCCAAATTATTAATTTAATTATTTGTAAAGTGATACCAATCAATTTTGTTAAAAATCCCGATTCGGGTGGATTTTTAAAAACGGTCCAATTAAGGTTATAACCAAAATATTAATGTGTAAACCTGGTGATTTTGTTCAAAGATGGCAAGGTTTGGGTTTCTACTTGCCAAATCTTGAGGCTTACACAATATTATTTCCTATAAAATCTTAATCGGACTGTTTTTAAAAATCGACCCAAATCGAGCTAACAACACTAGTACCGATGTTAAAAATCGGTATCGAATACAAAATCGGACTTTGAAAAAAATATCGAATCGGCCAAATAGTTTTTAAAAATTTGAGCGAGACCGATTTATGCTTACTGCTAAATCAATTAATAAAAAATATTGCCTAAACCTCGATATTTCGCTAATAGATGTCCAAACCTTTGTGCCATCTATAACCAAAATCTTCCTTACTTAAAATTTTCTGGATGAGTTCGCCGTTTTTAAAAATCTTTTCTAATCCAGCCATTTTGCAAACTATATGATAGCTCTCATAGGAAAAACTTATTATCACTAAGAGGCTCTTAACTTTATAAATGAAAATATCGAATATTATAATTTTAATTATTTTATATTTCATTATTATAATATATTATTTTTAACTCATATTGATATTTAATTTGCTTTTTACTTTTTCTTTTTCTTCAAATAAAGATATGTAGTTTGCTTTGCAGAAAATAGAATATGAAGATAAATATATATATAAGTGTGCAACAAATAAATTTATACTTATTTGTGGCTAAAATAGATAGGTAAAAATTCTGATCATCATCAAAAAAATATATGGAGCTATATGTATAATTATTCTCAAAACGATTAAAACTTAATAAAATAAGACATTATTTACTACATTTTAAATAAAAACTTTTCCACAAATTTAAATATATATATATTTTTAGAATTTTTATGAGACATTTTTAAGATTTTTAAGAGAGCCGGGTTTTACAAAATTTATACACAAGTTTTTATTATTCCATTGTCTTATATTATAAAAAATAATAACAAAAAAAAATCAGTGCAAATATCGGATTGGTATCAATTCTGCTTGAAATAAATATCGCCGGTGCAAGTTTATTTCTTTGATAAAGAACCCATATCCTTTCTTGCCAATTTTAATTTTCATTTCATTTTTTAAATATTTAATTTGTAATTAAATTACATATTTTATCATTTACAATTACAATATATTAGATAAAACTTTGTGTAATTGTCATAATTAATAAATTTAATAAACAAAGAAAAACCCCTCATAAGTCTAAAGTCATACGTAACCTTTATAATAAAAATCCAAATTTGCATGCCAAACCAAAATGAAAAGATCCAATAATTCCTCCTTATGTCTCATAATATCATTTTCCTTGTAAATTAAAAAATCGTATATTCTTTATTTCATACAGCATTATCACAATCATTTCACAATTCCATTATAATATCAGATGGTATTTGATTGACTTCAGCGAACTCTTGACTCTTTTCTTCGGTATACCCTCCGTAGGAATTGGAGCCATAACAACTTTGACAAGAACAATCATGAATCAACTCAACCAAAATATCCATGGATTTTTCTTCTGTATTCAAATCCGGCTCGTTAATCTCCAAACTTATCTATGTAATATGTTTAAAAAATTTTAAATGACATAGTTCATTATTAGGGATAAAGTTAATTTTAATATTAAGGTAGATCTACTTTTTCCCAGGTAAAATTAACGGGTCGACAACTATCACAGTAATGTAGCATCCTATCGCCTGGAATTTCGGGAATAGTTCTGGGAATAGAGTATGAAAAACATTGACCAACGCAAACTTTATTTGTTATTATCTGCATTTTTGGAATAAATAAAATTTTAAAGAAAAAAATAAAATATCAAAATCGGTGAAATTCTACAAATTCGAGGTGTCTTTAAATATCTGGGCATAATTTTAATTTGAAAGTAAACCGATTAATTTGTATAAAGATTAAGGTTCTTAATTTTGATTTATTTTTCTTAGCATTAGAAAAGTCGGGGATGACTAAAATACGCGCCCACGAAAATTACGCGCCACCTGTCAAAGAAGCTTAATTTAAATTATATTAATATAGATTCGTATTTAGCTTCATAAGATGAGTTAGAAAATGTTTTTTTTTATTTTAAAAATCAATGGTAACATAGAAAATTTTTTAAAAATTAATTTTTTACATGACTAAAATATGTGACCCCGGTCAAGATACATTATTTTAAAAAAAATGAATATAGAATCATGTTTAGCTTTTCAAGGAGATTCGGAAATAAGTATTATTCATTTTTTTAAATTTTTTTTAGCTTATCAATAGGATCTAGTCATTGAAATTGATTTTTTCCAATCATGCTATAAATCGACCCGAGCCCTCGTTATTTATATTACAAGTTTTTAAAAAAGGGGATCACCAACTTAATGGGTTTTTTGTTAAATCATAACAATATTTTTCCAATTTTATCAAAGAAAACTCATTAAAAAATTTTCAGAATATTAAAATTAATAAACCTTCTTAGCTAATAACTTTAAACCTGGTTAGTCAATCCTATAGTTTTGAGTTCGAATCCAGTAACTACTGTTTTTTTATATTCTTAATACAATTTTCTAGTTCCATCTATGGGAAGTGATATATGATAGCTTGGATGAGAGCGCTTGATCCAAGTAATGAAATATATTTCATAAATGGAAGTAATTTAGAAAAATATATACATCTATTTAGGAGAAAATTGCAATATTGTTAACTATTTATTCTTTATATTTTAATAAACATTTTAATATAAATAAATTATTTTTGATAAAGATACACTAAGGTTCCTTTTATTTTTAAATTTTTAACATTAAAATAAAGTTTTAGATTTTACAATCATAAAAAAAATGTAAACATTTAAAATTCTTCATCTATTAAATTTTAACATTGCTTATTTAAAAACAAAGTTTAGAACTTAATCCTAAAATCGGAATAGAGCAGCAGGAACCTATTTTATATTGTATCAATTTTAAAATTTGCTTATTGGTGTATCTTTGTTAAAATAATTTATTTATAATAAAATGTTTGGGCATGACTAAAATACGCGTCCCCGGTCAAACGGGTTTAATTTATATAATATTAATAAAAAATCTTATTTAGCTTTATAAGATGAGTTAAAAAATGATTTTATGATTTTAAAAAAAATGATAACTTAGTAAAATTTTTAAAAAATTATTTTTTTACATGAAAAAACTACGTGTCCCCGGTCAAGATACAATTTTTTTAAAAAATAAAAGCAGATTCATATTTAGCTCATTGAATGGATACAGAATATGTTATTTTTGATTTTAAAAAAAAGTGGTAACTTAGTAAAATTTTGAAAAAACACTTTTTTTCTTCATTTTTTGACTAAAATACGCGTCCCTACGCATCCCCGGTCAAGATAGATTATTTATATAAAAATGAATATAGGATCGTGTATAGTTTTTCAAGGAGATTCCGAAAATGGTAATAATAATTTATTTTTTTTAAAAAAATTAATTTTCGAAAAATTTTTTTCCTATGCGTCCATGGTCAAGATACATTTTTTTTTTTAAAAAAAAGCAGATTCATATTTAGCTCAATAAACTGATACAGAAAATGTTTTATGGTTTATCAAGGAGATTCAGAAAATGGTATTAATATTTTTTTTTAAAAAAATTATATATTAAAAAAATTTCCAAGCGCTTATACTCATAATAATGGTGGTAAAATTTTCTCAAGCCTGACAAGCGGTAGTGGTATCAAAATTATGATATTAATACTAGTTAAAAAATATTGATTAAATTAAGTTAATTTTAATAAATCAAATATATATGAAGAATTATAACAAAATATAAAGTTAAAGGGGGGGGGGGCTAATGGTAAGAACGTTTGCCTTCGTATCGTTAGGTCCTTGGTTCGAATCCCGGAGTAGGAAAAATAATATTTTAAAAAAAATTTTAACATTACCCTAAATAGTCTCCTTAAATTTAAAATACATTAAGGAGAAGAAAACGTTCATTTCTTGATTACTACACCTATACATTAAAAAGAAAGCATATGGTTATAAAAAATAAATATTATTTTTTTGTAAAATAGTATTGGTGTTTCATTCCCGGTTGTCTTTAAAGATTGTTGTTAAAATTTTAATCGTTATCCAATGGATCATATGACTAAGGTTTCGTCTTACTAATGTTTGATAAGTGTATTATGTTTGATGACGATATCTGTTTTCCTGAATAATTATATAATATTTATTCAATAAGCATGATTATTTTGATAATAATAAAATTTATAAATAACTATCTAACTTTGTATTAATAACCATTATTTAGATTTAAAAAATTTAAAATTTATTAATTAAAAAAAAAAAAATTACTCCCCAAAATCTAATAACTCATCATGTATGATGATCATTATTAGACTTGGGATTAATATCTAATCTAAAAACATCCGACGCCAATTCAACACAGGGTTCCTGGTTACTTGGTGTCGGCGCCGTTACGGGAATGGGCATTGTGCGTATCGTCGCCGATACGGGGATGGGGATTATGGGAATCGGCGCCGATACAGGGATGGGATTATGGGAATCGGCGCCGATATGGGGATGAGAATTATGGGAATCGGCGCCGATACGGGGATGGGGATTAATGGAATCGGCGCCGATACGCGAGAGGGCACCTGGAATTAATCTCTCCGGCACGGCCCTCTTGACAAAATCTGACGATATGATCGCCACCGCATCTGTAGCATCCAGATGCACGTCGAGAGCTTCTCAAAGAAGATCCCCTTCCTCCGTACCAATAGTTGGTACCATAGCCCTTCCTAGGGCTACGCGACCTGCGAGACTGTCTGTCTCTAACAGGCCTCACTATATTGAGCATTTGCCCATATAGTCGGGAAGCTTCCAGTCTAGCTTCCTCCAACAGGTTATCCGACTCGACCGAGCCATCAATCATACGGATTGATATCGTTATCACAAAATTTCCAACACGAAAAGTTGAACTCATCTAAAAATAATAAAATAAAGGGAAAATACAAATTTAATGTTTAAAAATTAATATCCATATACTTTACTTTAATTTTTTTATATTGCGTTGGTTTTTTAGACCCTTAAAGTTTACCAACTTTAATTGACCACATGTCGAAACTATATCATCATCATTTAAAATCCATCATCATCATTTAAAATACATCTGTTGATGTAAAACATCGCAAAAAAATTTTACGTAATATATTTGGCAAAGAGGGAATCGTATTTTCGATTAATGATGAAATGTTTCATCATAGAATTTTGCAATTAAAATCATATTGCGTCGAAAAAAGATATAATTCATTTCTGAATTATTTAAATAAATAATTAGAAGATAATTTATTTGCTTATATTTATAAGCCGTTACATAAAAAAATAATTATTAATTTATGGTCGAACAACGATTGTGAATCGTTTAATAGTATGTTAAAGTCTTTAGTAAATAGAAAGACATCCCCACAACATACTTTAATAGAAAAAATAACCAATAAGAATAGGGTACAAGAGAAAGAACTTGAACGGGCAGTAATTGGACTGGGCCAATTTTTTGTTGTTGAAAGTTATAAGAAATTTATTTTGGGCAAAAATTGGGATAAATTAAGTGATAAAGAACGTCGTCATCGTCTCATCGCAATGATGATGTATTTTAAATGATGATGATGGATTTTAAATGATGATGATATAGTTTCGACATGTGGTCAATTAAAGTTGGTAAACTTTAAGGGTCTAAAAAACCAACGCAATATAAAAAAATTAAAGTAAAGTATATGGATATTAATTTTTAAACATTAAATTTGTATTTTCTCTTTATTTTATTATTTTTAGATGAGTTCAAATTTTCGTGTTGGAAATTTTGTGATAACGATATTAATCCGTATGATTGATGGCTCGGTCGAGTCGGATAACCTGTTGGAGGAAGCTAGACTGGAAGCTTCCCGACTATATGGGCAAATGCTCAATATAGTGAGGCCTGTTAGAGACAGTCGGTCTCACAGGTCGCGTCGCCCTAGGAGGGGCTATGGTACCAACTATTGGTACGGAGGAAGAGGATCTTCCTCGAGAGGTTCTCGACGGGCATCTGGATGCTACAGATGCGGAGGCGATCATATCGTCCGTTTTTGTCCAGAGAGCCGTGCTGGAGGGCCTAATTCCCAGTGCCCTCTCGCATATCGGCGCCGAATCCTATAATCACCACCCTCGTATCGGCGCCCATTCCCATAATCCCCACCCTTGTATCGGCGCCCATTCCCATAATCCCAACCCCAGTATCGGCGCCGATTCCCATAATCCCCGTATCAGAGCCGATCCCCATCCCCGTAACGGCGCCGACACCAAGTAACCAGGAATTCTGTGTTGACTTGGCGTCGGATGTTAATAGATTAGATATTAATCTTCCAGGTCTAATAATGATAATCATATAGAAGATGAATTATTAAATGAGGATTAATTATTTTTTTAATTATTAAATTTTTTTAAAATATTAAATTTTTTTTATATCTAATGTATAATGGTTATATATATTTCAGGTTTAAAATTTTAAACCCGTTATATATCCATGGTCTTGGTTTTTTAAACTAAGACCAACAAGCTCTTAAAAATGTTTATGGCTAAAACCACAAAGAAAAAATTTCTTTAATTAATACAAAGTTAAATAGTTATTATAAATTATATTATTATTATCAAAATAATCATGCTTATTGAATATGTGTGTTTAAAAAAAAATTATATAATTATTCAAGAAAACCGATATCGTCATCAAAGATAATACTTATCAATCATTCGTAAGACGAAACCTTAGTCATAT